CGTAATTTCTCCCTCATATGATAGAACTTTGATATGCAGGGAGGACATTTCTCTGGTATATACAGGAAGGTTCAACTGAAGCCGCTGAAGTGGGTTAAAATACCAAAAGGCGATGGTGAAGGCGAAGAAGAAAGACCAGTAGAAGCCCTTATGGTTCTGAAATATGGAGGTGTTTTAACACACGCTGGTAGAAAGCAGGTATACTACCATTCAGTATCAGAAAATAACATAAAATACATTGAAAATTTGAGATTTCCGTTGCTAAATGAAGGTATCTTATGGTAGCTTATCTAAAATGCAGGCCGTTGATGTATTCTTGTCTAATCTTTTTGATGTATGATTCATCTGCAGGCAGAAGAACTTGGTAGATACTTTCGAAACAATATGTATCCAGGTGAGGGAACTTGATCAATATTTGTTACTTTCCATCTGAAGGAGTTTAGTGTACTTGTGATGATCAATATATTAAGTGTTTCACGATGAAATGTAATATGCTTGCAGGTGAAGGGACTGGTTTGCTTCGTCTCCATAGTACATACCGTCATGACCTTAAAATTTACAGCTCTGATGAGGGACGTGTTCAGGTACAGCTTTACGCTTTTAGTAGTGAAGATGAGCATATGATATTCAGTTTTTGAACATATACTTCAAGCTTTACTACTCCTCACAGTTTGCACCAATATATGTGAAAGAGCTCATCTGATCGAAATTCGTAACTGATTTGCACTGTTGACAGATGTCTGCAGCGGCGTTTGCTAAAGGCCTGCTTGACCTAGAAGGACAGCTGACGCCAATCCTGGTTTGCCCTTCTCTCTCACTGAGAACTCGTGGTGCTTTGCAATGTCATATGGTCATTAATTTATTTTCTTCTTTCTCTAGGTTTCTTTGGTTAGCAAGGACTCTTCCATGTTGGATGGTCTTGATAATGCCAGCATTGAAATGGAAGCGGCCAAGGTTTGTCCCTCTGTTTGATGAGTTGTCTTTATCGTGTATCAATAACGTTTTGGCAACTCCTCTGAACTATTTGCGTGTGGCCAACAACATCGACCCTGTTTCTGAAAGACCTTACTATCTTTCTCGAAGGAAATAAGTAACTGTTTTGGTTTCTCTACTTGCTTGCCCTGCAGGCTAGATTGAACGAGATTGTAACGTCAGGCACAAAGATGATAGACGACCATGACTCCTCTGAAGATTTCCCTTGGATGACTGACGGAGCTGGACTTCCTCCCAACGCTCATGAACTCCTACGTGAATTGGTACTCACACTTTTCCATCTAACAGTAGTTAATTGCTAATGTGAAGCAGATCACCAACCATTTTTGAGTTTTTTTGCACAAAAACGTAATATTGCATAGTGCTATGGTCTCTTATGGTTACTTTCCTCTTCCATTTTTTCCCTCGCACAAGTGATTTACTGGAGTCCAGAGAAAAAAATTAAAATCTGTTGAATTTCTTTCTAATTATTATTAGGTGAAATTAACTAAGAATGTGACTGAACAAGTAAGACTACTTGCAATGGATGAAGACGAGAACCTCAGTGAGCCATATGATATAATTCCTCCATATGATCAAGCAAGGGCCCTTGGCAAGACAAACATTGACAGTGATCGGATTGCTTCTGGATTACCCTGTGGTAGTGAAGGATTCCTTCTGATGTTTGCCCGGTGGATAAAACTCGCTAGGGATCTCTACAATGAAAGAAAAGAGTAAGTTTATCATCGGATTTGGATTTTAGCAATGCTTTTCAAAATTTTGATCTTTTTTTTCTGGTAGAGTTTTGTGAGTAGCACTAATAGTTGAGTTTAACTGCAGCCGATTTGACATCACACAGATTCCGGATATTTACGATTCATGCAAGTAAGTTTTTTTGTTAGGTGTTTTTGGTGTATCTGTAGTTTCAAAATATGCTGTAATGTGTTATTCGTTATTCTCACCAGGTACGACCTGTTACATAATTCCCATCTCGATCTAAAAGGATTAGATGAACTCTTCAAAGTAGCACAGGTAAACAAACTGAAATTCCTCCTTCCCTTTCCTGAAACTTTTATAATAGTTTGCATTGAAACTATGAACATTCTTGTTACATCTTTAAAATGTATGGTTGACTCTCTCGCTTATAACTAAGTTATGTGCTATGTGGTTGCAGTTACTTGCAGATGGTGTAATCCCAAATGAGTATGGCATCAATCCGCAACAAAAGCTTAAAATCGGTTCAAAGGTGACAATTTCTAGCTAAGAGTAGTTATTTTCCTCGATAAGAATTTTTTTTCCAGGGGATCTCACAACTTATCATATCTCTATTAAGATTGCTCGGCGCTTGATGGGGAAAATCTTGATAGACTTGAGGAATACTCGAGAAGAAGCTCTGAGCGTTGCTGAGTTAAAAGAAAGCCAAGAACAAGTCTTGTCATTATCTGCCTCGCAAAAGGAAGATAGAAATAGTCAACCAAAGCTTTTTATCAGTAGCGATGAATTGAGACGACCTGGAACAGGTGATAAAGATGAAGATGATGATAAAGAAACCAAATACCGATTAGATCCAAAGTAATAGTCTTTGCTTTCTCTCCTCTTATATAGATAGTTTTTTTCGGTTTCTGAATTTTATTCAAGTGTAATCTACTAATTGATTTTCATTTCCCTTTTAGGTATGCAAATGTGAAGACACCTGAACGTCATGTGAGGACTCGACTTTACTTCACATCTGTAAGTTTCCTCCTTTCTCCATTGCATGTTTAAGTGTGTTTTTGAGTGAAACTATAAAGTTTAAGCCTGGTATGATTTGGGACAGGAATCGCATATTCATTCGCTCATGAACGTCCTTCGGTACTGTAACCTTGATGAATCACTTCTAGGAGAAGAAAGCCTCATTTGCCAAAACGCCTTGGAACGTCTTTGTAAAACCAAGGAACTCGATTACATGAGTTACATTGTCCTAAGGCTCTTCGAGAACACCGAGGTTTGACATTACATTCACTCTTACACATGCTTCAGTATATGTATATGCTCTCAGTGTCTGACTCTAGACGTTAAAAACGGATGCAGGTATCACTTGAAGATCCGAAAAGATTCCGCATTGAACTTACATTTAGCCGTGGAGCTGATTTATCTCCCTTAGGGGTAAGAGCAAAGGATATTATCGTTTATCTTGAACTAAATACAGGAACAAATTATAACTTTTGGTAATATTGTTGTGACAACATGATGCAGAATAATGACGACGAGGCAGAGACATTGCTAAGGGAACACACACTTCCGATAATGGGACCAGAGAGGCTTCAAGAAGTTGGTTCTTGTTTAACCCTCGAGACTATGGAGAAAATGGTTCGTCCTTTTGCTATGCCGCCGGAAGACTTCCCTCCGGCCTCCACTCCGGTTGGGTTCTCCGGTTACTTCTCAAAAAGCGCCGCCGTGCTAGAACGTCTCGTTAACCTCTTCCATAACTATAAAAACTCTTCTTCTAATGGAAGGGGCTAAGCGGAGACCAATTCTTTTTTTACTTTCTTTTATCCACTTTATATTTTGCTCATGCTTTTGTTTGTGCAGTTCTAATCAGATCATCTTCTTATTTTTCTAATTTTCTTTTCCTCCCAAAAATTGCTATTAAAATGATTTTGAATATAGCTATTAATATGTTTTTCTTCAGCATGATTTTAAAATATTTAGTTTTGTATCTGTATACTATATATAGTCAATTTGTGAAAGGGACTCCTGCAGTTGGGTTTGAATTAAGATATGATTACATGGAACATAAATGAGTCACCCGTGACGTTCTCTAATATTTTCTATCATTTTTTTCCCTTTGTAATAGGTAAATAACTATACTCAAGAAATGATGAGTTTTATTGTAAACACTCTGTCACTGTGTATTTCTATCATCTATTACACAATAAAGTTGTTGCGGATTTGTTGGAATTTATAATCTGCAAAAGTATAACTGATATCGGATAAACAATCACCGAATCTAAAACAATCTAATAATCTTGTCATTTACCGTAAAACTAATCTTAATATAATGTTTTTAGCTTCACTTATATCGAAAAAGAACAAAAGTGAAAATGAAAAGCAATTTGATTAGGAAAAGAAGCACAGATAAATTAAATCCTCATACGTCTCTGTAAATCTCAATGGATTTTTTCTTTTTTGGGAAAATTCTCAAGACATTAAATTGATATACAAATTTGAAGAAGCTAAGTAATTGATTGGAAATTTATTTGTAAAATAAACGACTTATTCTATAAATTGAAAAAGAACAAAAAGGAAAATTAATGACCACAAAAACAAAAATTCAAAATCATTGACAAAGTTATAGAAATAACCAAATTAAGGAGATATATAGTAGTTTATATATAAATTAAAAAAAAATGTAGGTAATGCAATAGGAATATTTGTCCGTGAATAAATTAAAATTAGTCTGTATTAGGGAGCTACGAAAAATGCGTTTTGTAACTGTTGAGAGTTAGCAAACAAACACATTACATTGCCCAAATCACTCTCTCTCTCTCTTGCCCGCTTTGCCCGTTCTTCTTCTTCTTCTTCATCTTCGTCTTCTCTCTCCACAGACATGAATTCCCTTTTTGACTAAAGTTACGCGACCTCCTTTTTTTCTCCCTAAGTGAATCTTACTTCTTCTTCTCGCCAAGATCAAATTTCCTCTTACTGGGATTGTTCTTATTTTCTCTCTAATTCGCTTGGGTTTGTTTTGTTTTTGTTTCCTCTCCTTCGTGGTCTGATCAAGTTCCATCCTTTTTTTGTTGTTGTTCTCCGTTTTAACTGGTTTTGGGGAGATGGGTTTAGATTCTGTCAAGGTTATGGAGAATTGGCAATCGAAGACATCTAATGAGAGTGAGAAGAAGAAGAAGAGGAGGAGGAAGAAGAAGAACAATGTCAGAAACACTGAACATGTAAAAGAAGAAGAAGAAGAAGAATTAAATGGGTGTTGGGTCAAATTTAGGTTTATAGTCTGTTGCGTTTCTTCAACCTCAGACGTTGATAGCTCTCTCAGTCTCTCCACAAGCACTGGTATTGTTTCTTCTTCTTCTGGGTCTTCTCTTCTCTGGTCTAATTTGTTCTGCAATTCGAGCTCAATATAGGATTTTTTGTGCCGTTGAGTTGAGAAAAACCTTTCCTTTTAGATGAAATCTTCTTAATTTTTGTTTCTATAATTGTCACAAGACTTATGTTTCCATCTAGGGTTTTTTATTTCTCCCCATTTGACAAACTGAGCAAAACCTTTAATGTCTTTGTGGTTGGTTTACCTAACTTTGAGAATTTCAGCTACTTCAAATTATAATGTATACCTCAGGTGATATTTCGATATCATGTGCTTAGTCAGATCCATTATAGTGCAGCAGCAATTGTAGGAACTCACATTTGAATGGTTTTGTGATGACTGAACAGTGGGAAGTCAGTCCGCAATTGTGAAATCAAATGACCAACCGGTTGGCCCTGTCTCTTCTACCACTACAACTAGCAATGCAGAAAGCTCTTTGTCCACTCCAATGATAAGTGAAGAACTTAAGATCTATTCTCACTTAAAGAAGTTTACTTTCATTGATCTCAAGTTGGCTACTAGAAATTTCAGACCCGAAAGTCTTCTCGGAGAAGGTGGCTTTGGTTGTGTCTTCAAAGGGTGGGTCGAGGAGAACGGAACTGCTCCTGTTAAGCCTGGTACTGGGCTCACTGTAGCCGTCAAAACCTTAAATCCTGATGGACTTCAGGGTCATAAAGAGTGGCTTGTAAGATCCTTCCTTCTCTTCTTTTCCATATATTCTTTCCCACTACTGAGCATACAACTAAAGGTTCCTTCTTTGGAGGTTTGCAGGCTGAGATTAATTATCTCGGTAATCTTCTTCATCCCAATCTTGTTAAACTGGTGGGTTATTGTATCGAAGATGATCAAAGGCTGCTGGTTTATGAGTTTATGCCTCGAGGAAGTTTGGAGAATCACCTTTTTAGGAGTAAGTAAACAACTACAATCTTCATATTTTAATTACACTGTAAAGTGAGATTCTTGCATTTCTTTGTTTTCGATATAGATAACAAGTGTTTACAATTAAAGATATGTCTACTCCATATTGTTGAAGTTGGAACCCTTAGACTCTATATAGTTAAAATTGGAACATTTCTACTCTATATTGTTAATGTTGGAACCTTTCTACTCGATATTGTTAAAGTTGGTACCTTTTACTGCCATCTTTGATGGTTTTTATTACTTGACTATATTGACCCAGAAAGCAATAACTAAATCCCTTACATTCATTGTTCTAATTTCAAGATTTTGTATGATTTATCTTATCAGTTATAATTGATGTTAAATCTTTTTCTTTGTGAATAAACTTGTGCTTCGTGTTGAAGGGTCGTTGCCTCTTCCGTGGTCAATTCGGATGAAGATTGCGTTAGGTGCTGCAAAGGGGCTCAGTTTCCTTCACGAAGAAGCTTTAAAGCCGGTCATTTATCGAGATTTCAAAACCTCCAATATTTTACTGGATGCAGTATGTTTTCCTCTTCTTTGAATCAAGGGATCAACATCTTAAATACACGTCTGTTTCTTTGCTTCTAAACTCTTACCATTCCCCAATTCCAGGAGTACAATGCTAAATTATCAGATTTTGGGCTTGCCAAAGATGCTCCTGATGAAGGCAAAACTCATGTGTCTACTCGCGTCATGGGCACTTATGGTTACGCTGCTCCCGAGTATGTCATGACCGGTAAGTCTTGTTTTGGTCTTTGCATTTCATTCACTCCTCTGCTTATTTCTTCTCTGTATGGTTGAGTATAGAAAGTCAGAAACCGAGTTGGACACTGCCCCATTTGATATTTGCATCAATTTTCATTAATTTTCTTTGGTTGATGCAAAGTAGTACTATGATGAAACGTGTATCAAATTTCTTTGGTTTGAGATTATATATAAATACTGACCTCCTTTTACTCCTTAGGTCACTTGACATCAAAAAGCGATGTTTACAGTTTCGGTGTGGTTCTTCTTGAAATGCTGACTGGTAGAAGATCTATGGACAAAAACCGACCAAACGGTGAACACAACCTTGTCGAATGGGCGAGACCGCATCTCCTGGACAAAAGAAGATTCTACAGGTTACTTGATCCGAGGCTGGAGGGTCATTTCTCCGTTAAAGGAGCACAAAAAGTGACTCAGCTTGCAGCACAATGCCTTAGCCGTGACTCCAAAATAAGACCCAAAATGAGTGAAGTGGTGGAAGTCCTTAAGCCTCTCCCACACCTCAAGGACATGGCTAGCGCTTCTTATTACTTCCAGACTATGCAAGCTGAACGTTTGAAAGCTGGGTCTGTGTCTGGGTCATCGGGTCGTGGATTCGGATCAAGAAACGGGCAACCACCAGTGTTTCGGACATTGTCTAGTCCTCATGGTCAAGCTGGTTCGTCACCTTATCGTCATCAGATTCCGTCTCCTAAGCCTAAAGGTGCAACTACTTAGATTGGCTGATGGCTCTTTGTTGTGGACGCAAGCAAACGTCTTTTTTAACCGATGTAAAACCGATATTCTTAACCGATTTTAAGAAGCAAAATTAAGGTTGTTCCGAAGAAGATCCAAAGTTGTGTATTTTACCTTTATGGCCTCATGTCTCTTCCTATGTTGTACTCTTGAACAATTGTCTTAGTTGTTATTTGTTAGGGTAATATTGTCATTGTGTATTAGTCGTTTTGAATCGCTTCATCAGCACGCAACCACTTCTTCAATGTAAGATATCAAGAATGGTATTGGAAAATGTAGGTGAGAGACATTTTGCTTTGAAATTTTGAAAATTTTGTTCTTTTTAATTTTTTGGACTTATCAACTTGTCGATAATCTAATAATTAAAATTTCGACGACCAAAAAGAATTGACAACTTTTCTTACGTGCAACTTTTATACTCACATACAAGTTATCCACTTTCTTTGTCAAACATGCGAGAGCCGCAAGGACCAACGACTTTTATATACAAATAATTTGCTTACTTTTTTTTGTAATCTGTTTGATTTAACTTTATTTGTGTAACTTGATGATTTTCTTTTTATCATCATCTGGGTTTTCCATTCATAAAGAAAGGATTACAGTAAGATACTTTGCACACTAGCAAACTTAATGATTTGTATATTCACATCATAGTTTTATTACTAAGTTATAATATAAAACATTCAACTATAATTTAAATGGACCGTTCCAAATTTCCATAATTTCGGTTACCACCTCCACCATTTTGCAGCACACAGAAAATTAGATATATATACTAATAGAATTAGAACCATCTTGTTTTAGCATATCATTACGAAAACCTACACATAACAGCTGCAGACTAATATAAATAAAGCCCACTCCACTTTTTTTTTTTTTTTTTTTTTTTTTTTTTTTTTAACATCTAACTTTCTTTATTAGTTCACAGAAGAGTTATACAAATAATGTATCAACCACGATGGTGGTGAATTGAAAACATGATACAACTCATTAATTTCCAAGGCTTGACGAGCAATCCTGTCTGCTACTGCATTTTTCTCTCTGGTTACATGACCCAATGATGAATACGGTAGTTTCGACGTCCAAACACGAATGTCGTAAAGAACAGTACCTAGATTAAGCTGATCACCACCTTTATTAATCAGATTAGTGAGCTCCAAGTTATCTCCTTCAAACCAAACATGTCGGAATCCATAAGACCAGGCCACTTGAAGAACATGTAAGAATCCAAAAGCTTCAGCTTGAAGTGCCGATATAGAAGGTTGTAATCTTGCACATCCGGAGAGAATTACTTGGCCACGACAATCTCTGAATATCCAACCCGTATTTGTGAAAGATCTTTCTTGTAGAAAACCACTATCAAAGTTGCATTTAAGCCAACCAGTTGGAGGAGGAGACCACTGTCCGTTCCTGGTTCTTCTTCTCATAGGCTGGTCCGGACATGGTGAGAGAGACCGTACATCCTCTTCCTGTCCTTGAGTTGCCCCTATCCAATCTTTAACATCCTGAATCCCTTTTTGGGCAGTAGATTCCGGTCTTCGATTAATCTTTTGGAAGAGAAAATCATTCCTTGATTTCCAAATTCGCCACATTATCCAGAATGGTAATAACTTGTTAAAAAGAGGCAAGGACTGGATCTTTCCCATCTCAATCACCTTACGAAGATTATCCTCAAAATCGCCAAGGGGAGTTATATGGTAGTTAATATCAATATTGGCACATCGCCAGACAGCTTGGGAATGAGGACACATGAAGAGTAAGTGGTTAGTAGTTTCTTCATCGAGACAGCACCTTTGGCATGTCGGGTCTGCAGGTACATTCCTTGTTATAAGTTGAGTGGTTGTTGGTAGTGCTTCTGACAAACAACGCCATAAGAAGTGTTGAATCTTTGGGGCTACACATAGCTTCCATATCTCGTTTTTCAAGGGAATGGAACCTTTTGGTGGTTGAATGATCTCATCTTCTGGTAAATGCAAGTGGGTTGCAACCCAATATCCCGAGCGTACCGTATATTGTGCTGACTGAGTATATGCCCATTCATAAGTATCCTTCTCCGCAAATTGTGATAGATAAAGCTCCCGTGCAAGTTGTTGATCTTCAGGATTGAGAACTCCTTCAAAGACTACCGGATCCCATTCACGTTTATTTGCCTTCCAGAGATCTGCCACTGTCATTTCAGCATCAAGAATTGGGCCACTTGCAGGCCGTGGTGGCAGTGTCGGTAACCAGGGGTCTTCCCAAATACGGGTTGTTTTGCCGTCTCCTATACGCACTCTTAACCCTTGTTGAAGCAGAGCTTTACCTTCTTGGATTGACCTCCATCCAAATGAAGCATGGCTTTCACTATTAGCCCTTAGATAAGTAGTATGAGGGTAATACAAACCTTTGTAGAGACGGGCTAAGAGACTTGTGGGATTCATCAAAATACGCCATGCTTGTTTCGCTAGGAGGGCCTTATTAAAGTGTTGTAGATCCTTAAATCCTAGTCCTCCTTCTTTTTTCGGTATTGAAAGTCTCTGCCAAGCCACCCAAGGGATCTTCTTTTTACCATTCTCTTTACCCCACCAGAAGGACGATATCACACTGTTAATCTCGTTGCAAATAGTGATCGGTAGCTGGAAGCAGTTCATTGAGTAAACCGGTAATGCCATGGCGACAGACTTTATCAAGATCTCCTTTCCTGCTGGAGATAAGTATTTATTTGACCAACCCTCTGTTCTGTTCTTGATTTTTTGAACAATATACTGAAACAACTCCACTTTTTTCCGACCAAATTGTTCAGGTAAACCAAGGTATTTTCCTCCGCCCCCAACTCGAGTAATGCCCAATATCCGTTGCAACCTTCTTCGCTTAGAATCTGGTGTCTTCATACCAAAAATAACAGAAGATTTTGTGAAATTAATTTTCTGTCCCGACGCTTCCTCGTACGTCTTAAAGATCAATGCCAACTGTTCGCAGTTAGATGTTGTGGAACGACAAAAGAACAAAGAGTCATCGGCAAAGAGTAAATGCGAGATCGACGGCCCGTTCATCGCAAGCTTTATACCATGAAGTCGTCTTTCACATTCTGCTTTACTCAGCATTTGACTTAAGACCTCTGCACAAAAAAGAAACAGGTAAGGGGAGAGAGGGTCACCTTGACGAAGCCCTCTTGTAGGATGAATCTGTCCATATGGTGATCCATTAATGAGCACTTCATAAGAAACTGTTTTGACACACTCCATAATCCACTTTACCCATCTGTGATCAAATCCCAACTGAGTCATAACCTTCTCCAAGAAATTCCACTCGACTCTATCATACGCTTTGCTTATATCAGTTTTAATGGCAAGGTATCCATCTTGATAATTCCTTCTAGATTTCAAAGAATGCAAGAGTTCATGGGCTACCAAGACGTTGTCGGAGATACTACGGCCCGGTACAAAGGCTGCTTGAGAGTCAGAAATAACAGAGCCAAGACAGTTCTTCAGTCTTCTAATCAACACCTTTGAGATGATCTTATAATTGACTGTACATAAACTTATTGGCCGGTAATCGGATATATGATTTGCTTCCTCCGTCTTTGGAATGAGGCAGATTTGTGTACGGTTGATAGAAGCATCCAATTCACTGGTTTCAAAAAATCTACGAACCATAGCACAAACATCATCCTTGATCAGATCCCAGAACTGATGGTAGAAGGCAGCAGTGAATCCATCATAACCCGGAGCCCGGTCTGCACCTATAGAGAAAGTTGCTTCTTTGATTTCATCATCCGTGAAAGGACGTAGCAAATCTCTATTCATTTCCGCCGTGACTCTAGTTCCAATACTTGATATAAGCTCCTCCATATCCGTTTGCTGAGAAGTAGTAAATAGCGTATTGAAATATTGTTCAGCAATTTTACCAATAGCATCATCCCGAAAATGTTCCATTCCTTGGTCATCCTTCACAGACTTAATTCGATTTCTCGACTTTCGGATCTTAGCAGTGGCATGAAAATATTTAGTGTTGCGATCCCCTGAATGAAGCCACTTGTTCCTACTCTTTAGCTGCCAAAACACTTCTTCATCCCTATAGGCTTGATTAAGGTCACGTCGGAGCTTGTGTACCGTCGAAAGAGAAACTGTATGATCTCTTTCTGCAGCATCTATCTGGTGTTTCAAAAGCTGAATTTGTTCTGCTGAATTACTCTTCGTCATTCTCTTCCACCTTGCCAACTCTCGGCGGCACGAACTGAGTTTCTGTTGAATACCACCAAATTCATCTGTTTTTCCTTTATTCCATCCTCTTGTAACCGATGCTACGAAGTCTTCAGACTTTATATGACGTTTATCGTATCGGAACTGTCCTCTTTTCACACAAAACTCTTCTTCAATATTGATTATTACAGGAGCATGATCAGACCCTGCAATTGGTAGGAATTCTGTTTCAGACGCAGGGTACGATGCTTGCCAATCCGAATTGATGAAGACTCTGTCAAGACAACTCTCAATTGTTTCTTTCTGTCTTTTCCCAACCCAACTGTAAGGATTTCCTTTGAAGTTCAAATCTTTCATATTGCAGCACTGTATCATATTATGGAAGTTTCTGCAGCTTCCAATACTTCTGTTCCTTCCACCCTTTTTCTCTTGAGGTTGGAGAATTTCATTAAAGTCACCACACATCATCCAAGGGCCAGTTCTGTTAGCCGAAATTCGTTGGAGTTTCTCCCATAGGTGATGTCTTTCACTTGGAATTGGATTCCCATAGATGCAAGACAAGTAGAAATTAAAAGATTTATATTCAACATGAAGATCTACAAGCCTTACATCATGGGAAATAACTTGAACAGAAAGGTGCTTTTGCCACAAAACAGCTAAGCCACCACTTAAACCTCTAGGTGAAACAAGACACATTCCATTGAACCCCAAACTTACACCTAAATCACGAATATAATTGTCTTGTTTCTTCGTTTCCACCAGGAACAACATGTCCAAAAGATACACCCTTTGTATCTCTTCTAGGCGTCGAATTGTCAAGGGTTGTCCCATGCCTTGACAATTCCAAAATCCAACTCTCATGGAACTGGTGGTGGAACTGGCCCCACCGCGGCTCTGTCATGTTCATCATCCTTGTGATTTCCATCTGATTCATTGATCTGTCCTCTACGGGTGAAGGGAGACTGGTTCTCTGTTTCAATCTTCCTCTTTTGTGCGTTACTTGATTCTCCATTCTCTTGGCAGTGCTTGCGTTTACGAATTTCCCTCTCCAGAAGCTCTGCTGGGCTTAGGATGTCACCTGTTGCATTAGCAAAAGAAGGAAAAGGGTTAAAAAGCACTTCCTCTTCATTAGACCAGTCTCCTTCCAAGGCATTGTGGTCAGGGTCAATATCTGAGAGCTCTCCGCCTTCTTCAACAACAGCAGCAACAGGTTCATTCTGAATGTTTGCTTCACCTTCATCTTCCGGTTCCACAATCGGCTGGCCATCTTCTCCTAGTTCCACTATGTGGACTCCCGGGTTACCATGCATCTCTTGATCACCTTCGTCATCGTCATCACCATCTGAATTTCCCGGACCACCATTTTGAATCAGACAATTCCCTGAGTCATGAGTCATCATGCCACAAACAGAGCAGAAGCCTCTCAATCTCTCATAGAAGAAACTCAGGATTGTGTTAACCCCAGGAGAGAATTGGTAGTTTCTCTGAAATCGAAGAGGATGATCCACATTCAGTTTGACCCGTACTCTGACGAATTGAACCCGAGTAGCAGTGGCTTGATCAAAGTCAACCTCCATTCTGTCTCCCAGTGATCTAGCGATGCTATCAATGACTCCCAGATTCATGAACTGGAGTGGAATGCCCCTAATTTGTATCCAAAAAGGAATGAAATTAAGGGACAGAGGATCGAAATCGGGAGACCACCTCTGAAGCACGAGCATGCGGTCCGCATATGACCAAGGACCCCGACGCAGAACGGTGTCCAGAGACTCTTCAGACGGGAAGACAAAGAGGAACCGCCGTTGTTCCACAATCCTTCCACGGACAAAACCAACCAATCCCCATGAACGGGGTAATGTCGCAATGATCTGACGGAGGTTCTGTTTCCTTGGCATCAGTGGTTTCCCGATTAGGCAGAATCGGTTTTCTGCAGCCGCCTGTTGAACAATGTCTTGTGGAAGAGCGAAAGGGGCTTCATCGATCCCCAGGTTGATGTGTTGGAGAGCCCGGCGAAGGTTGTCGGCCATTAGAAACCAGGAGAGATAGTATCGAAGAGGGTAGAAGTTTGGAGGATTCAGATTTGCAAGTGAAGATGAAGATACTCCGAATCGCATCCTTAAATAGATCTGTGCCCATCTAGAATCAACCGCTACATCGTGCAAAGCTTTCGCTACTTTGCCGGGAGAAACTGCTCGGTAGTGGGAGAGAGGCAACCGACCCACTCCGGCGAAGAAAACCGTCAAAATCTTCTCTGGAAGATGACTTGAAAATAACTGTAAATAAATCGCCCAAATAATCGCCATTGACAGTCTAAATAAAATCTAGCCCACTCCACTTTATTCTCCTACATTTTGTTGAATTTGAACATTTTTAAATATATATAAGACCATACAATGTCTAGATAACTCGTTTACTCAATCAAAAAGAACAAGTAATTGCTAAGAGACGACAAAATTGTTATCAAATTTTATTTTTGAATATTCTCCAAGATATACAAAATTTGACTTTTCAAAGAAAATGCCACTATTGAATAATAAATAGGAAATTTCCGAGGAGTAGTACAACTACATGACAACTTGGCATGATCATCTTCATCCTTTTGTTGTCTATATAACACTCCTGCGACTTTCTTCTCTTCCACAAACTTACAGAGAGACATAGACCTATAAGCCATTCATAATCTTCTCGCTTCTTGTTCTTTATTCTGAAGAATTAATGGGGAATCTTTTCTGTTGCGTGCTTGTGAAGCAATCAGATGTTGCTGTCAAGGAGAGATTTGGCAAATTCCAAAAAGTACTGAATCCAGGTCTCCAGTTTGTTCCCTGGGTCATCGGTGATTACGTCGCCGGTACACTGACCCTCCGTCTTCAGCAACTCGATGTTCAGTGTGAAACCAAAACAAAGGTAAGTAACATTGAACACATATGCAAATCTTCTTCTCTAGTGGATCATTATATTAATTCATCTATGATTATGTTTCAGGACAATGTGTTTGTGACAGTGGTTGCATCCATACAATACAGAGTCTTGGTTGACAAGGCAAGTGATGCTTTTTACCGACTCAGCAATCCAACCACCCAAATCAAAGCCTACGTCTTTGATGGTATATATATCTCCTCTTCAGTTCTCAATACAGAGTCTTAAGGAAAGTCTTAAGTAGTTATTGATTTTGGTTTTGTTTGTCAGTGATCAGAGCATGTGTTCCAAAGCTGAACTTGGACGATGTGTTCGAGCAGAAGAATGAAATCGCCAAATCTGTGGAAGAAGAGCTAGACAAAGCCATGACTGCTTATGGTTACGAGATCCTTCAAACCCTAATCATCGACATCGAGCCTGATCAACAGGTTAAACGTGCCATGAACGAAATCAACGCCGGTAAGTCCTCAAATCAGTAAAACCCTAAATCAAAGTCTGAACAAAATTAAAATCCTCAAATTAATTAATTGTTGTTACAGCGGCGAGGATGAGAGTGGCAGCGAGCGAAAAAGCAGAGGCTGAGAAAATCATTCAGATCAAAAGAGCAGAGGGTGAAGCAGAGTCAAAGTACCTGTCGGGACTCGGAATCGCTCGGCAGAGACAAGCGATCGTGGATGGTCTGAGAGACAGTGTTCTAGGGTTCGCAGGAAACGTGCCAGGGACGTCAGCCAAGGATGTGTTGGACATGGTGATGATGACTCAGTACTTTGATACAATGAGAGATATCGGAGCAACTTCTAAAGCCTCGGCCGTGTTTATCCCTCACGGTCCCGGCGCCGTCTCTGACGTGGCAACGCAGATTCGAAATGGATTATTACAGGCCAACAATGCCTCCTCCTCCTAATCACTCAAGTCAAATTGTTTTGGTCGTCTCTTTTAATACTTTTGTATCTTTTTTATTAAAAAGGTAAATATATAATGGTGTGCTGATTGTGATTTGTCATTATGTATTTATGTTTGTACCTATCTCTTCTGTGAGTTGTGTATCTTTTAAAAGTCAATATAAATTTCAGTTTGCGAGACAAAATTCAAATCTTTGAATCGGCGGACTTTTGTGGCAATGAACTAATATAATAATGAGCCTTTTGTTTGCCTTTAACCTGATCGATGAACACGTGGGCCTGAATCGAATAGCCCATCTCATTCAACTCTCTGGACTCATGTCCACTTACTTAACATACAGGCACATCTGAATATTCAATTTTTGTTATGACATGGCAAATAAAAAAAGGGAAGCTAGAATTGGATCTTAGAGTTTCATCACCATCTCAAGATGATCCGTTTTCAACCTTTTTATTCTTCTACAAATCCGACAAAGAAATGGGAAAGATCAGTACTAGTACCCCCCTTAAAACCATGAACCAAGCAGAGAAAAACAGAGTACGTAGAAAGAAACTAGTTAAAAAGCTATGGCAACTTCTTCTTTCATCTCAGTTTCAAGGCTTCAGTGCGAGAGCCAATCCAACTTTAGCACTCTTGTCAATGGACTTTGTGTCGACTTCTCCAGAGATTGTGAAGAACGACTTGGGCTTCCACTCGTGTTGAATGAGCGCACTTGCAATACCCGCACTATTGACACGAGCCTTCACAGAGGTCAAGGGGTCAAGCGAGTGCTGTGTTCCAACAGTTATGGTGTTGTCCTTGCTAGAGAACTTGTGGCTCACTTCAGCTCCAACCGCAGTGTTGAACAGAGGGTTCACAATCTGATAGTAAGATGCATTCAATAGATCGCCCTTCTCATTCCTAACAAACAACAAAATCAAAAGATATTAAATGATAACATTGACAACCCCATCTTTCATCCAAAATTTCTCACTAAAAATCACTTACACAGTAAGGGAGGCAATTAAGTCATCCTTGGTGAAGCTTAAACCAGCATTGATCTTGGTGAAATTTCCAGACTTGGTGTCGAATGAAACATCAGTACCAACAGCCAAGACATTGGTGCCAATCACACCGGAGAAGTTGACAGTTGGGTTCTGAGTCAATCCCATGCTCGTGCTGATACCGGCATAGTCATGCAAGTATTGAAGTTCAATCTGTCGAACACCACGAGAATCTAAAGTTAGAGAAGCCAAATTATCCCCAACTGATCAAACTTTAAAACTATAAAAAGATAGATTCTTGTGTAGTTTATTAAAATACCTTGCCAGAATTTTGGTCAGGAACCTTGAAGCTGAAGATTGACTTCAGTCCGGGTGCAGCCTCATCAACCGTAGCAGTGATCAGAACCTGAAACCAATACACACAAAGTTGAAAGGTGAGTAGCCCAACAACTAAACAGAAAACTATAACTCGTATACAACAAATATAAGAGATGAAGTTGGGTACACAGATATACTTACAGTAGAGTCAGTGCAAACTTTCAAATCAGTAGTAATGTTCTTTTGCCTCGATTGGAAAGCTACATCTCCCAACAATAAGTCACCTTTCTTAGTTCCGGTTGAGGTGATGGCCTACAGGTTAAACAAAGAAAGAGACAGGTTATGAGAAATTCAATTTTCACAAACACATGAATTAAAAGAAGTATGTAAAAAATTTGTTCCACTAAATTACAATGCTAAATTCAACAGAAATCTCAGAAACCAATGAATAGAGCAAAAGTAGAAACAGAATAGAGAAGACCACATTCCATTAACCCTAATCATCTATAACAATAGAGAGCTGATACTTGAATGAAGATTATAAAGAGAAGAAACTTACAACACCGGCAGGAGAAAAAGTGGTGATACTGAATTTCTGGTCACTGTTGTGGTCCTTGTACAGAAGATCTGCAAATACACAGCAGAGACTTAAATGGTGAGAGATGAAAGAGAATCACAGCAGTATTCAAATTGACAAGTCCAGATAAACGATGAACAAATCGGGGATGAAATTCGAATAACACAAAATAAGATCGAGAAAGGTAGAGCTTGAACGAGAGTGACAGAGAACCCAAGGAATTACAAATATCACTTGTGAATCTCTATCCGATCGAATACACGAAACTTTCGCATGCGTCTATGCACATATCGCGGTGACCAAATCGTGACCGGGAAAAGAAGTCTAAGAGACAAACAAAAGAATCAAAATCCTAAGAAATTTCAGGAATATCTAAACCAAATCCAGATTACAACACCGAAGGGGACAGTAAGTAGCAACAATCAGATCGTCTCAAACAGAGTCAATTTCAACTAAATGAAAGAGAAGCCGAGAGAGATTATAAGGTACCTCTGGCTTTTTTGCCGATTTCGGTGTAGAGACCAGGACCTTTCACCATTGTTGCTTATCTGAGAAAGTTGGAGGAGGATGTTCTTATGAGTCGAATCGAAAGAGGAAGAGCAGGAAGATGTGGGCGTCTATATGAGAGAGAGACTGAAGAAAACCCTAATTTTGTTTTTATTTTTTTTATTTCCGAATTATCAGAGAAGGAGATTTTTTCCTGTTTATCAAGCAAAATTTTATCAGCCGTTGGATTGAGACTCGCTCCATTCACTATTCCTTATCCATAGCCGTCCATATATTTATTCCCCACTGACCAAGAATAATTATTTATTATATGCCTCTTACGTGGCAATCAAGCGGCGTCGTTTACTCACCCTTTTCTTTTTCCACGCCTAAAATGATAGAATCGTTTTATTTTGGTGGTCACTCGGTTTTGTCTTGGCACTAGTAATAAACCGGTTCTATATTTGGTGGAAAATTGATTCAACTCTACAGATAGATCGAACGGTTCATCAATCGGTTAACAGTTTAATGTTTCGGTTTATTGACTAATCGGTTGAGTTTTTAATTAATCAATTAGTCTGTAAACCATGTCATTAGTTGTCTACTCGGTTTGTTTGATCATTTATTCTAACTTTCATCATTTACTCTAAGTAATGAATACTCGAATGTGATTTTTATAATGAATAAGCTAGGGAAAATCGTGATTTTCACTGATTTTTTCATAAATGTATACACTACTTATATCAAATAAGGATTAATCAACAACTATGCCGACTATTTCAGTGAGTGTCTGAGTGATATAGTAAACGATTAGTCAACAACTTTTTTTTACCTTCAATCCCTTATGGTAACAATTTATATTACAAGCAGTCTGATATTTTCACTACTTTAGATGCTTATATGAGAATGTAAACGGAATTGTGTTGTTGCTAAAATTGGTCGAAAACATTGAGAAACCATAATGTTACTTTTTCCATAGAAATATCCAAATATAGGAAACGAACAAAAAACAAGGAGATGAAAAATTAATTGATTAAAGAAAAACAAAGAAAGCTGTCCACAAGTAAATTATGGTGGCTTTCCATACATAACGGGAAAACTTTCTAAATATAGAAGTTAACTTTCTTCATCAGGTTTTTATCATTATTTAAACACCAACATTCATGTTTGTCAAACTTCGCAATACGATTCATCTACCAAAAAAGGCTTTTAGGTCAAACAGAAATAACGACCTAAAGCCATGTTTAAAGCTTAGCAGTTCTCCACATATATTTCAATATATAAAAAGATTACCCCTTTAAAAAAAAAAAAACTGATATAAACTGTTTTCTGTGAAAAAAAGGGGTAATCAAATAAAATGGAGACAGCTAGGCTTTTCAAATTAGTGTGTGTGTTTTGTATTGCCAGTTTGATTCCGACCATACGAGCCAATGTTGCTGATGAGACCGATGAGTATTGGGTAAATAAGGCCAATGAAGCTCGTAAACATACCCTTATGGCTTATCATCCCGACCCTTATGAAATCGTCGACCACTTCCACGAGCGTCATTACGAGTAAGTCAAAATTATCTCTATATATATGCATTGCTTTGAATCCTACCGATCTGTCTCGTTGAAATTAACCAGGCTTGATTGTGATGAAGAGAGAACGGTTTGGATTAGTTTATTCTGATTTCTTTTAAATTAAAATACAAATCTTTATTGGTAGAAGTTTTAACAAGGATTGAAAATTATAGATTTCAGTTTGCAAGTTAAAAGAATGTGTTGTTTAAAATTCTTCTTCCTCCATTTTTTTGTTTGTAAAAAGGATGTTGGTTTTATGATGGTTTTGGTTTGGTGTATATCTTCAGCAACTCGACTGATGTCGAGGGGACCGAGGAAGAGAAGGCGGTCGCTTCCGAGGAAGAAGACGTCATTGAGATGATTTCTAGTCCGACAAACAGTACAAGGCGGAGCCTAACCGGTAGGGGGAAGGGAAAAGGAAAAGGAAAATGGAGCAAGCTAAAGGGACCTTGCACCGCAAGCAACCCGATTGATAAATGCTGGCGTTGCCAACCCGATTGGGCCAGACGTCGCAAGAAGCTCGTTCATTGTGTCCGTGGGTTTGGTTACAGGACCACAGGAGGCAAACGCGGCCGCATATATGTGGTCACGAGCCCTAGAGACGATGATACGGTGAACCCTAGACCTGGAACACTACGTCACGCTGTGATCCAGAAAGAACCTCTATGGATCATTTTTAAGAACGATATGAGCATTAGGTTAAACCAAGAGCTGATGATTGCTAGTCACAAGACAATCGATGCTCGTGGCGCTAACGTGCACATCGCATATGGTGCCGGTATTACGATGCAGTATGTGCACAATATCATCATCCATGGGCTTCACATCCACCACATCGTGCAAAGCAGTGGTGGTATGATAAGAGATTCGATTGACCACTTTGGGCAAAGAGGACGGGCTGATGGAGATGGTATCTCTATCTTCGGGGCAACAAACATTTGGCTTGACCACATTTCTATGTCTAAATGCCAAGATGGCCTCATCGACGCTATAATGGGTTCCACCGCAATCACCATCTCTAACTCTCATTTCACCCACCACAACGATGTGAGCCTTTCACAACCTAGTTAACTCGATCGTTAAACTATTAATGACAACTCAAGTTAACCAAAGGAACTTGTTATGTTTTTTGGGTTCTGTCTTTAGGTGATGTTGCTTGGTGCACAAGACAACAACATGGATGACAAGAAGATGCAAGTCACAGTGGCTTACAACCATTTCGGTAAAGGACTTGTCCAGAGGATGCCTAGGATCCGATGGGGTTTCGTCCATGTTGTCAACAATGACTACACTCATTGGGAGCTTTACGCGATCGGTGGTAGCCAAGGTCCTACCATTCTCAGCCATGGAAACCGTTTCATCGCTCCTCCTCACAAACAACACTACAGAGAGGTACAAAACATTTCAAAATGATTTGAGTGTGCACATATATATGGCATCAAATCAAAGTTTGAGTTATGAAACTAATAGAAAACATGTGTATATAGGTGACAAAGAGGGATTATGCTTCAGAAAGTGAATGGAAAAACTGGAACTGGAGATCCGAGAAAGATGTATTCATGAACAATGCATATTTCAGACAATCTGGAAATCCTCATTTCAAGTGTTCGCACTCTAGGCAACAGATGATTAAGCCCAAACATGGTATGGCAGTTTCAAAGCTTACCAAATACGCCGGAGCATTGGATTGCCGGGTCGGAAAAGCATGCTAAAAATATAACTCACTACTAATTTTTTTTCTCTTTGTATCTAGGCCTATCTATATAAGAACTGAAAAATTCATGGGGTAAAAATGGAAATTATTCTAATTTATGAAAAGTCTCTGTGTAAAGAATATATGCGAACGGCTTGATACTTTGTAACTCTAATTTGTTTGTTTATGTTTTGTTGTGCTCGTTAATTTGTTTTTTTGCAAGGACATATGAAAATTAGAATTAAGGTAATTAATTTCAAAAACGATGACTTGACGAAATACATATATCAAAGACTTGAGAATAAGAATCACTTCAACGTATAATTTCATAAACCAAAGAATTTCATACAACAAGTTTTTCTTACCAGCATATTATTTTTTCTGAATACTTTTCTTTTAAATTGTATGTACCAAATAATAGTTTTAACAAAAATCTATAGTGATTAGTGTTCAGTGACATGCAGCGCAATTTTTAATTGTTAAACAAAAAGAATATCGAGCATGGATACTGGCATACTGCCGAAATCGTCGAAGATCTTACTTTTTATTTTTATCTGATAATACCGACAAGCTAAAAACCTTACTAATAGGCTCAAATCTAATTATATATCAGTTTCATATTTGACAACATTATCAAAATTTTGAGTGCAAATGACAAAAGGCACAAGCCGCACAACCAAGAAAAAGAATTACAAATAGCACCAATAAGTGTTGTGGTGATTCATGCCGCACTACAATAAAAAATAAACAACACTTAGATATTGCTTATATTGTAGAAGATCTCAGCATTATTATTTTTTCTTAAATCAGCGATTTAAAGTTTTTTTTTTTTTTTTTGAATAAACTCATTTAGATATGTTGTCAGTTTAAGAGTTTTATATATAGTAATTTTAAATTTTGAATAAAATCAAAATATAATACAAAAAGATGGCCGTGCACTAGTAATACTCGATATAGTGTGTTTCTTCCAAAAGAAAATAGGATTAAGAAATACAAACCGCCTATAAATATCCACCAAGAAATTAGAGTCACTCACAGTTTTACAAACACATACAAGAAGAAGAAAAAAAAACTAAAAAAAATGGTTAGGATTTCAGGTTTAGTGTGTTTGGTTCTTTTGGTTACAATAGGACTCTTGGTTAGTGTCTCACTCGCTGACAACAACGAAGAGAAATCGACTGATCTGAAGAAAGTCAAAGGAGGAGTAACCGATCGCTCGATTAGTAAGGTAAATGATGATGATCACGACGATGATAATGATGGAGACGATGACCATGACGATGATAATGAAGATCACGATGACCATGACGATGATAATGATCATGACAATGATAATAATGATCATGATCATGATGATGATGGAGACGATGACCATGATGATGATGATGATGATAAAGATGATGACGATGACAAAAAGAAGACGTTGGGGGTACACGAGCTAAAGAAGGGGAATCTAACGGTCAAATTTACAAACCGGGGTGCTTCTATCATGTCTCTCCTTTTCCCCAATAAAAATGGTTAGTGGACCAATCATATTTATATATATCGTTTTATACGTATATTCTTATACATTATTTAGTGAAATTCGAGTAACTTCCAGGAAAAATAGAGGACATTGTTCTTGGATATGACAGCGTCAATGACTACATGGTAAGTAAAAAACTTTACTTTTAGATAAAATGAAATTTGGTATCAGATCCTTGAAAAGAGATTTAATTAGCTTTTGTAATCAGAATGATACGGTATTTTGTGGAGTGACGTTGGCACGTGTAGCCAATCAAAGGGAAAAGACCGTTGCAAACGATGGCAAACATGGTAATTTTAAAATTAATGACGTTCTATTTAAGTGGACTTCATAAATCATAAATTCATAATTAATTAACACTTTTCTACAATTAATCAGGTGTGACGAAAGAGTCTGGCGATGTGATTTGGACAGTTAAGAAACACAACCATAATGGCAAAAAACCTTATATTGTCTTCAGATACACAAGTCCTGATGACGATCATCAAGGTTCGTTTTTTTTTCATAAACACTTTATTCTATCTTTTTTTTATATGCATAAAATTTTAAGAAAGGAGATCATGTTAATCAATAGAGAAACTTGAAGTCACTGTGACGTATAAGCTGATAGGAGATAACAAATTGAAAATGGTGATGGAAGCAAAGGCTAAAGAGAACGCAACTCCGGTGAATTTGGTTCATCGTTCTTATTGGAATCTTGGTGGTCATAACAATGAAGATATCTTGTCTGAAGAAATTCAAATCCTCGGTTCCGGTTATGCTCACCTCGACGATAATCTCACTCCAACCGGAAAAATCCTCGCCGTTAAAGGAACACCGTACGATTTTCGCCAACTCCGACCTATTAAAGACAACATCAATGAGCTTAAGACAGGGTAAAAGTTTCAAACAAACCGGACCTATATTGAACCGGTTTATGCTACATATTTTTTTAATCATTTTTTTTTTTTTGATCAAAAATATTTTTTTAATCATTAATGTTGGATATATTAACTAATATATATTATTTCTTTTATTTTTGGAATGCAGGTATGGTATAAATTATTGTCTAGATGGTGTTGCAAATAAGATGAGAAAAGTCGTGGAGCTTGTGGACAAGAAATCGAAGATAAAAATGGAATTATCTACAGACCAATCTGGTCTAAAATTCTATACCGGAGGAAGGCTGAAAAAAAATAAAAAGGGATCGGTTCATAAAGCTTACTCCGGTTTATGTCTAGAATCACATGCAATCAATTACCAATATCGTCCTTCGCAGATAGTTGAACCGGGGAAAAATTATGGGTTGGCTGATTTTATAGCCATAAACTAGTTGCATTCTCAGCTTTCCCCCCCAACCTTTTGGCTTCTGACAATTCCACCATTAACTTAGATAATTCTCACAATTTCAACATGTACTTTCGGATTCATCCTTAAAACTATGCCTCCAATTGAACCGGTCATTAAACCAGAATTAACCACAAATCCGCGTTTACTGTACCGCGATTGCAATTTACCCGACTAAACACCCATTACCCGTTAAGAAAACGACGTCGTGGTTTAAGTCAGCAAAACCTAAGCAAAATCTAAGATTTTGGTACTTGGATTTGGAATTGCTTCGTCGATTGGAGCAAAGACTGTGATCTTCGTGTCGTTTCCTGAAGTATCTTCCAATTGCAGAGCGAGAAACGTAGCTATGATCACGAAACCTCTAGACATTAACAATCTTGAAGCCGATTCAAAGATGTTGAAGCAATTCACTGGTTTTGATCCATTTGGAAGATTTCGAGTGGAATCGGAAGCGAATTTAGGACTTGGAGGTGTGTGAGTCGCTGAACTAGGGATAGGGATTGAACCGGTAGATGAGGTAGTGTTTGGGATTGAAGAAGACGATGATGAATCGTCGGGGATGTGAAAAACTCGCCGGATCCGTAAATCACGATGTAGCCGTCGTCAAAAACAGGAGAATCGTGAACTACGACGTTGTTGATCGAAGTTTTACCTCCAAATCGTGAAAAATTTGTGACGGTTAGAGAGGAATCAGATCTGAGAGTAGGGATTTTGGCGCCATTTGGGAGGTTTCTTAGGGTTTCTCCGGGAAGTCTCGTCGGAGAGAGCTGGTATTTGATATCAAGAAGCGAAGATTAACCAAATCTGGAGAAAGCTTGATCAGAAGGTGCGAAGATGGTGAGTTCTTGCCAATCTTCGAGGTTTTGATCTTGATTCGCGAGCTGTAGAGTGAGTCCCATGGATAAGTAGCCGGAATCGGAGAGCACTTCTACGGCTGATGAAACAGATGTCAGAGAAGGTGAACCAGTGGAAAACGACGTCGTTTTTTTAACGGGTAATGGGTGTTTAGTCGGGTAAATCGCAATCGCGGTACAGTAAACGCGGATTTGTGGTTAATTCCGGTTTAATGACCGGTTCAATTGGAGGCGTATTTTTAAGGATGAATCCGAAAGTACATGTTGAAATTGTGATAATTATATAAGTTAATGGTGGAATTGTCAGGAGCCAAAAGGTTGGGGGAGAAAGCTGAGAATGCAACTAGTTTATGGCTATAAAATCAGCCAACCCAAAAATTATAAGCATACTATGCTCTTTAAGTTTTCTATTGTTCCGTGAACTTTGTAACTTTACTTTCTGGAAAGTTTATGACCAGAAAAAAAATTAATAAAAACTTTTCTGTCATTTTGATAGTTAAAGAATTTAATAATGGGATGATCTGAGAAATATAAATTGTAATAGTTTGGATTTATTTTGAGGCCCATTTGATTGACCATGACGATGATTTGACAAAAAAAAAATCGAAAGAATTTAATTATTTTTAGTTTTTTCGACCAAATACAATTTGGAACATGCTAGAAGAAAGTATAATTACTAATTACAAAAATATCCGTTCTTACACAATAAAACCATTAATGATACATACATATATACATATATAGACATGCGTTTGAATATCATATATTTTTTTTGTTAATTAAAGGTTACTACATATCATGAATTTACCGATTCTTCTTCTAAGTTTTCTTCAACAACTTGACAATGCGTTTTATGGTAGACATATACTCTTTCTCTTTCTCCGGAACCACCGAATTATAGGCATTCTCCTTCCATGCTCTGTAGAAAAATGATTCTTTTTCAACAAATATGTTTGCTTTAATATGGTTGTAAGTTCCATTCTTGAGAGAATCTGAAATTTCATTAAGTAACGATTCAGATTTCACCAAAGAACTCAATTCGCTTTTCATATCACCAGTTGATTGCTTCTTCAACGTTTTCAATTCTCCGAGCATTTTCTTTGCCTTCTCAATTTCCTTTAGAAGATTGTTTTTCTCCTCTTCTTTCATGATTTCACTTTCTTTTTCTCCGTTCAACTTCTTCAAAGTTTCGGGTTTTACATCGCGGAGCTTCACTAGCTTCACGTCTCTCGCTGCAGCATCATGGATGTTGCATACCAATGCGATGACTAAGGCCACAATTAGGCCAGACAGTGCATAAGAATTCTTTGCCATTATTGTATTGTTTCAAATTAACTAACACAAATCTTCCTGTGTCAAATATATGAAAGGACTGAAACTTATTTTGGTGGTAGCCCTTTATGCAAGAAAATATTATCTAAAAAAAGAAGGTAAAATTTGGTATTGTGATGTCCTATAGGTAAATGCTATTAATCTAAAAGTTTTGGATTAGCTGACTTTAGTAAATATTTTGCGAATTGTATGGATAACCAAAAAACGTTGAGTAACCGAGTCAATACAATTCTTTGACCATCAATATGTAAATACTATTATTAGTCACAAATAATGTATATAAGATACCCTAGAAAACAAAACAAAACACAATAACTAACATCTCTTCTCACCTCTTTTCCTTTGACAAACTATTTGAATCTAAATTCAAATTGATTTGTTAAGGGAAAATTGAGCTAGAAAAATCATGGCAAAGATCTCCTTCGTGCTTTTCGCTGTGGCCCTTATCGCCTTTCTCCATGCTTATGAAGCTCGCAAAGTGGTCAATTTCGGTGAAGCATTTGAAAAAGACTTGCAAAAAGCCGAGGCCATGATCGCGGAAGAAGTAAAGGCCAAGAAAACGAACATTCAAGGTTTGACATCAGAGGTGAAAACGTTGAGCAAATCTGAAGTAATGTTGAAGGACCTTGGAAATGCTTACAAGAAGGATATGGACTTAAGGCCTTACGAAAAGAAACTCAAAAACTTCAGCAGGGTTGTAGCCGTCAAGAAAGCACCTGTGAAAAACAACAAGAAGCCTGTATCCATAATCCAATCGATTTTGAAGGACTTCGGATTAAACGGAGGGAGGGACTGACAAAAAAACTATTAATATTATCTAATTAGGGTATGATTAATGTTTTGATGTGTACTTTAAAAGAGGTTTCGACTTGGCCATGGAGTTTAGCTTTACAAGTGAGAGGAGTGAATAACTCCCCCATAGTATATTAGTTGCATAATATTGTATTTAATACAATTAATTGAAATATTACTACTATTACTACTTATTCTAATTTTCACCAAAAAAGGAGAAAAGAATATATTCTGATTACAGTTTGCGGATACATAGTTGACATTGCAAAAAAAAAAAAAACACAGTAGCAGTGAATCGCAATAATTTACAAACTAATGAAATGATTGTCCAAATGAATATTTTCTGATTTGGTTTATGACGATGTGTCTTTTTATCTTTTTTCTGTATGATAATATGTCTCAGACTCTAATAAATATAGTTACAGATCCACACATTAAAGATAACTATTTTACAGATAAATATATCAGGAGTACTTGATCAACTACGTTGATATAATCCATCAACATAATCATGTGCTCTTCAACAAAATCTTCAATCTTCTATAGCATAGAAGACATGAGAAATTAAACCACAATTACACAGGCGCACGCGCGCACACACACATATACTCACTATGTTCAATAAAACGTCGTTTAAATTAAACAAAGTCCATTTTTATCACTATGTTTTTAAAAAGTTATTAATTAAAAACCTAAACTTATGTAGTTTATTAATTAGAGATATAATATCGAACTGAAATATCCTAGTATATTTTCTTTTATATTTGCCAGATGTGCATACAACATCCCTACCAAAAAAAAAAAAGATGTGCATACAACATTGTTTCTAGTAGAATCGAATATAGTCTATATTCTATAGAGATGTCAAAAAAAAAAAAAATCGAATATGGGAAATTGAGTTTACGCTTAATTTATCCCAAATGCATCCGGAAAATAAATCATATTATCTCTCAACAAATAATAATAAAATTATTTACAATTTGAATTATTAATTACTGGTCCAATTTATTTTCTTCGTCTTAGACCCAAAATAACTAGAAAATGGCCGTAGTTTCTTAAGTTTTTAATTGCCTGAAATCTTTTTACTTAATTCAGTTAATTCATAACCGTTAACGAACACATATCTAAATAGAGAAAGCAAGAATCTTATTTTTTGACATTCCATACTTGACCGTTAGAAATTTGACATTAATACTGAATAAGATGATACCAATTAACACTTTTACGAATTTTATGGGTGACCAAAGAAAATCAAGTAACGAAGTCAATAACCATTCATTGACCATCAAAATAAGGTGACATCTACCTACTATTTTTACGCAGAGGTAAAATTATAAATGCTTTACGAAATAAACACACGAACTCACTCCTCTCATCAAAATATTTTCCTTTTAACAAACAATAATTTGATATTATTTCAAATTACGTTGAGGGAAAATTAATCTTTAATCATGGCAAGGATCTCCTTTGTGCTTCTCGTTGTCGCCCTTATTGTCTTTCAACAAGTCTGTGAGGCTCATCGTCCGATAAATTTCAACGAAGAAGTACTTGAAAAGGACTTGCATGAAGCCAAAGACTTGATAGAAGAAGACTTGAAAGAAAAAGAAACGAGCATTAGGAACTTGGAAAGCGAGGTTAGTTTGTTAACCAAATCAGAGATGATGCTTACTCAGCTCGAACATGCTTACAAAAATGGTAAGAGTCTTGAGCATTTCGGGAAGAGACTCAAGAAATTCAACAGGAGGATCAAGAAGGCTCCTGAGGAAGTGAGGTACGTTTCCATTATCCAATCCATTTTGAAGGATTTGGGATTAAACGGAGGGAGAAATTAAAAGAAAAAAACAAGAATTAGGGTTTGATGCGTTCAAAGGAGGTTTGAAATTTCGCCCATGGAGTTTGGCTTTACAAGTGAGGGGAGCAAAATCATTTGCCCATAGTATATATATTATATATTTAATTGCATCAATTGAATAATAAATCAATTGTAATACAATTAAATGAAATGTATTACTACTAATATTGTATTTTTTTTTTCTGCTGCGATTTTGTTAATTTAGTTATCTCGCAATGTATCTTAAAATAGTTACAGAAATATAACAGAAACTTTTTGTTTTTCATACAGAATAAAATTATTCATGAGTTTGATACCCGTCAGCATATAGAATTTTTTTCCTTTTTAAATTTTGGTTTTATATTACTTAAAGTTAAAATATTTATAGTGTCTTAACAACAACGACTATCCGGGATGAACAAGCCCGGTACAAGAACCGAATTACTAAAGAGAGGAAGAGCCTGTAAACCACAATTGGAGAGAGTCTCGGAATTTTGGGATATGCCTTTTTGCGGAGCAAGTGTTGCGAATCCCTCGGTCAATAACTTTGAATAGAGCCTCAGCCGGAGTGCGGGTATTGGTGAATCATGTGCACCTAACCAGAATATATATGTTTCTTTTTTAAAAAAATATTAGTTTTATTCATCTTATCCTCTCCCCATGCCAATATATTTCTAGCTAGTCCAAGAAACTACACATCATATATGTATGCACGAATACTTAGTCCGTAGATAGTTGCTTCTTCTCAACTTGGGATAAGGAAAAAAAAAAAAAAAAAAACTTGGGGTAACAATGTCCTCTTATGTAAATTTGGTAAAAAGGAAAAACACAAGATTCGTCTTAAAGAGAAAGAACCCAAAAGAAGAGTGAACTCTTTCAGCATTGTTTCCACTTTTGTTTTCTTCTTTTTGGTCTGTTCTTCTTATGTTTTGGAACGTGTGCTTCTAATAATCTTCTTCTTTCCTTCTTTTTTTTTCGCCATGATATTTTTTTTTAAATAACGTAATTATTTGAAGAAACTCAGAAAGTAATGTAGGAGAGTGACCATGTCACATGTAGTAATTGACAAAAAAAAAAAAGGTAATGTATAATAGCTCTGGGTGATTAAATATTAGCTCAAAGGAACAAAAATACTACCATCGAATAGATATGACTCAAATATATTGAACCAACGACAAAGAATATATACGTCTATGTAGGTGAAGAGGTGATTTTACGCTTTGTTTTGGCTTGAACGTGAATATTTGGTATATACATCGCTTTTTTTCTTCTTAAATTCTAATGGTTCCGTTAAGACTAAAATTGCAACTTGCAAAGATAAACTTATAAATATATATATTATATATATTAAAAAAACCTTTGCATATAAATATAATATAAGTCATGGATCATGTTATGTCAATGACAGAGCTGGAATCCCACTCGAAGTCACATGCATATGAATCTTTCTCACTTTTATATCCTTAATAAATTTGTACCAACCCATCCAATTAAATAATATAAAAGATTCAGAAAATCATAACTTTTAATCTCTCTCAATTGGTTAGAGCGAGGGAGAGTTTTGTTAGGGTAAAGGCGTAAAGTAAAAGAGAGTGGTTATGCTTTTTGAACCATTTACATATATTAAAAGTATTAAACTGTGATTTATCCCATATCTAAAAATCAAAGAAGTTTATGATTTTTATTAAATTAAAGCAACAACAGATTTTCGCACTATACACCAATGCACTACAAACCCAAAGATAACAAAATGCCCCAATGTAAATTGAAAAGAGTAGCAATAATTCCAGAGTCAAATTCAAAGAGATGAATTTTGTCTTCTTCTGATGATGATTCGATGATTATGATAATTTGTCATGATGGTGATGACTTTTTTCGAGCTTTAGGATCATGAATCAGTTGAACTGGTGGTGGTGGTTGTGGTTAGGGTCAGACCATGCCCAGTAACCAGCCGACGTCGTTTCATCAATGCCATTAAACATGTTACAAAGGCTTTCTTCTTGAACTATTTCATGATTCTGATCATCATGTGCAGATGATCGAATCGAGGAAGGGAAAAGGTCTTTGATCGTGTTCACATGTGTTGTAGTGGTCTCTCTAGGCATCTCCAGATTGATGTCTGAACTATTCTCTGTGCTTCCATTGTTGCTCCATGAAGCTTCTGCTTCTCTCTTTATAATGTTTCCTTCATTACATTCTTTGTTCTTTAAAGCCATTACCTTTAACCACCATCACACACAATTCAAATGTTATGTTTTAGAAATTTAAACATTAGTTATTAATTCCTTGATGCACATACTATAGTCTATAGATGGAATACATTTTTTTCGTTTGTCATAATATTGTTGATAAATAGCTATTTATAAGACCTATTTCAATATATGGTAAAAAAATCGGAAAAATTCAATAAAAAAAATGACTAAACATACACTACGCTATAAGACCTTCATATATTATACATTTAAATTATTGTAAGACTGTAAAATTTATTTTTAAAAATATTGTAACTACAGTATTACATTCTAATAAGTAGTAAAATAATTTAAAATACACAAAATTATCTAATAAAAAATCAACTATGTATATAAAGTATTCTTGTCAAATCTGGTTAGCGCTCCCTACACATGCAATTACTTGATAGTCATATGGGAATGTATTAATTAAATGTATAGATTGATCAAGAATCTTTTATTTAATAAACAAAACACCTACTGACTTTTGACAAACATCTTATAGTGTTGGATCATGTGCCTAGCAATAATCTATTGTATTTCGTATTAAATGACTTTAATCCTACTTACACACAACAACAATATACATGTATATACAGACATATATAAACTAAACAAATTGTACCAATCAAAACCAAAAATCAGAAAAGAAACTTGTAATACTAGATTCATTTTACGTTGGTTATTAGTCTTGTAATACCAAAAAAAAAAAAAACGAAGTTATTAGAACTGAAAGTTGAATTATCAATTAAAAACCTTAATTATATTACTATATAAACACATACTTTATTTAGATACATACCTCAGCAAGGAGTTTCTTGTTGTAGGCAAGTAGAGAATCATTGTCGGATTTAAGAGACTCAAACTGTTTCTTGAGTGAATCATAATCTCTCTCGAGCTGTCTAGTCTTCCACCTAGCTCTCCTGTTTTGAAACCAAATCGCAATCTGTCTCGGTTGCATCCCTAATGCTTTAGCTAGTTGTATCTTCCTCTCTGGCTCCAGCTTGTTCCCAAGCTCGAAGCTCTTCTCTAATGCCTTAACTTGCTCTAATTGCAGCCTCTTCTTCTTCTCTCCAAGCATAGTATGTGCCCCATCGTCTGATAGATTCTCCTCATCCAAGGTTTGGTTATGATCTTCTTGCACGTTCATTAAAGACATAGATCTGTTCATCATGTAGTTTCCTCCTCCTATATACACCAAGAAGACAACATATAGTTCAAGACGACTTAAATCTATGTATGTAGAGAAAGAGAGAGAGTGGTACCATTGAAGAGATGAGGAGGACAAGAAGGTAGTTGATCTTGACTGTTGTCTTCATGAAGTTGTTGGAACATAAAACCATGTTGAGGAAACGCCATCTCTAATCTCAATCCAGCTTCTGTTGTTGGATCAAGCACATACATGTATGTATTCCACCAAGGATCGATCAGTGATTAATGGATTGTGAAATTACTATAGTGATGATCAAATGCTTTGTTGTTTACAAATTTGGAGATCAGTAACAAATGAGTTTGGAGTTTCTTGTGGATCTCATCAACCTCTCATATAAGAGAAAGAGAGAGAGAGAGAATGAGGAAAGGATCAAGCTAGGGAGGTTTCTAGGACCCATCCTTTATATTTTAAAAGCTTTAGGCTTATTATTATTATTCATATATTGATATATATATTCCAGTTCATGTAATAAAGTATTTTATAATTTCTGTCTATTTTCTCAACATACAGGGATCAACATGTAACGTTACTAATCATATCTACATGATAGTTTTTTTCTTTCCCCAACACCTTTATGCCTTAAAACCTCACATATAGACATTTATTTGTGTTTTTTCCAACGAAGCCCAAAGACGATTTACATTAATCGCTTCCTCCTCCAGCCATATGGGCCGCTGCTTTAGCAGCCCGGCCCAAAGCATCTGAGAACCATAAAGCCCCATTAGCAAAGTATCGACTGTTGACCACACTAGTAGCTGCAGCTGCAGCCACTTTCCCTGTAATGGTGGCTGCGGCTACAGCAGCTGTTCCCGTGACAAGAACCGCGGATTTTGTGAAATCCGAGAAATGATACTTCTCGTCCGCTGATCTCACGACTTCCATACTCGACTGAATGTTCTGTGTGAGGCCAAGGTAATGGCTGATCTCTGCCAATTTGGTCGCTACCAAGCTTGAGAATCTCTGAGACTCATCCAAAGCTTTGGCTTTACTGATGGCGTCTTTGCTTAAAACGTAGCCTTTAGCTAACATCGTCTTTACAACTTGTTGAGCCACGGTTACTGCCTCTCCAGGGGATGAAGCAAATGCGTCTGAACGAGTCGCCTATAAAGAAACATTTTGAGAATCTTTAAAGTAAAGACATGGCTTATAACCAAAGTAACCCAGTAAGTCCTGTTTTTTACCGTTACAGTATAATCTTCTTCTTGTCTGAGATTGTTAGATTCATGTAAATAGACACCGTACACTGATATCCAAACGGTTTGATCAACGATGGTAGCTCCCTGAAAACATTAAAATCAATGCCAAGCAGATAATTTTCAATTGGGAATTTCTAAGGGGCCTTACGCTAAGCAACACGGCCATATCTAGAGCATACGCATCTCTGAAGGTTACATAAGCCGTTAAAGCATCCCCTTCATACCTGAAATCCATGGAGACATTAAACAAGAATCCAAAAAACAGATTCAAGAATGAGATTAATAATGTACTGTACAAGATAGAGATGAACATAGTTGTTGTTAGTTACCCGGTGATTTCAACGAGCTCGACGATACCACAGTGAGAGAAGAACCTATGAACATCTTTCTCAGTGGCTTGAGGAGACAAGTTGGTGACTTGAGCAACGTAACCACAAGGATACATTGTTCTGTTTTCTCACACAAACCTAAATCAAAGAACAAACATAAACAAGATTCTTGAATCACATTTCTTGACGAATTCACAGAGATTTCTACAGCAAGAAACCCACGAAACTACGATTAAGATCATGATTCAATTTTTTTTTTTTTAAGTATCCCTTTTTATATAAGCAGGCCAAATTGCTTGCGGAGAGAGAAGAGAGTAAGAACCCTAACTTATATGATTGAATTGAGTTAAGGGATGAAAGTAACGGTAACAAAGATAATAATAAATCAAAGTAGTAAAATATGTATCAACCAACCACACAAATCGGAAACTTGGAGAAGACAGGGCACGAAAAACACTGTAGTTTGAGTCTGTTTTAGCAACACCCGATTAAGGTATAATAGAACAGGAAAGTCACAAGATTGAAGCAAAGTATCGAAAGAGACGGAGAAGAAAGAACACAAGATTCGTGTGATTGTGAGAGAGAAAGAGATAGCTTACATATTTTTTCTTCTTCTTTTGTCGGCTCGATATCGATGTTGTGGTCGACGATACGCGTCAAACGTACGCTCTAACGATGCGAGTGTGTTATTGTTTCCACGAGTCTTTTGGGCGTCTTTTACTTTCTTAGGCCTTTTTAAAGCCCAAACATCTGTTTCTAAGCCCAAGTTATTTGTGAGGACATTTTCGTCAATTTAGCTGGTTAAAGCGTTTGGACGCCGGTGTATCCGTCGCTCATAAGGAAAAAAAAAAGATAGGAAAAAAGTTATCAACTTTGAGGATGAATCTACACGGCGTCTCATCAGGCCATCTCGAGCCTAATTCCGAACCTCCTATTCCGACAGGTTCGTCGAGTCCGAAGCTGAAGATTAGTCCCAAATTGAATCGCTGGTCTATGGGCCGAACTTTAAGATCTGGTGGTAAGCTCGACCGTCCAATTCACCGTTCCGATAACACACCTCGCCGTCAAGTAACGGAAGCCAAACAGACGGATGAGGCTGATAAGAAGACGACGGCGATTGACGTGGAGATAACGGCGGGAAAGTCTATATATTTGGTTTCCGACGGAACTGGGTGGACGGCAGAGCACTCCGTTAACGCCGCTTTGGGACAATTCGAAGATTTCTCGTTGAATCGTGGGTCTTCTGTAAATACCCATCTCTTCTCTTGGGTATCAAATCTTCTTACTTTCACTTCTCTGATCAGAGTGAATGTTGCTAGTAGAATTGCTCGTAGGATAGATAAAATTGGTTCATTACCTGGAAAGATTGCGAATTCTCTGAAATCTGATTATATCTTAGTGAATGCTAGTTGCAACTAGTAATCATAGGAGCAAGAAAAACTTGATTTTTAAACCGAGATTGTTAGGTTTTGAAAATTGTCATCACTTTGGTTTTGGCTTGGGGATTGTTCAGGTTGAGGATGAGGAGAGGCTTATAGAGATTATCAAGCAGGCGGCCAAGGAAGGGGCAATGTGTTTCTACACTTTAGCTAATCCTTCTATGGCGAAATCCGCAAAACAAGCTTGCGATCAGTTGGGTGTGCTTTCGGTTGATATTCTAGGACCAATCATTGAAGGGATTGCGTCTCACTTAGGTGTTTCTCCATCGGGTCTTACTCGTGGAGCACCTGGTAGGGTCAAGACTCTCAATGATGCCTATTTCAAAAGGATTGAGGCTATTGAGTTTACCATTAAGCAAGATGATGGGACTTTACCCGAGAACTTAAGCAAGGCTGATATAGTTCTAGTCGGGGTTTCCCGCACAGGGAAGACGCCATTGTCCACTTACATTGCTCAAAAAGGGTACAAAGTTGCCAATGTACCCTTTGTGATGGGCGTGGAACCACCCAGGACGCTCTTTGAGGTTGAACCGAGAAAGGTTTTCGGTTTGAAGATTCAGCTTGTTGTACTGCAAGCGATTAGGAGAACAAGGGCTAAAACTTTAGGCGTAGATACGGAGGCAGAGAACAATTACTCGGGGATCGATCTTGTTCGGAAAGAACTGGATTTCGCGTCAAGGATCTATGCGGCAAACCCCGGATGGGCAGTGATAGGTAAACAACACTTAAACACCATTCTCATTTTGCTACTCAAAATGCTGTGTTTTTTCTTCTTTCAATGGTAGTAAGAAAAAAGTTTCCAAGTAGACAGTATTCTCATATTAGTCTTGTGGTTGTGGCTGTTTCAGATGTGACGAATAAGGCGATTGAAGAAACCGCGGCTGTGATTCTGCGGCTGTACCATGACGGTAGAGACACTAGTACTACGGTACCGCGTATCTCAAAACGCTACTAAGCAAGCACACTCCTTTGACCGTAGCGGATGAAACAACAGTTTGGATAAAGTATTAAGTGAATAAAGTAATTGATGTCTATAGTAATAAGTTAATAACAAATCCAACCGAGACATGAATCATATGTTTTAGTCAACGAATGTAAGAGGATGAAGGATAACAAAAACTAATAATTGTGATGGCTACTCTGAATTCTTTTAATAGTAGTCTATATATAAAACAAAAGAGTAACTGTCATTAGCATTTAGTTGAAACGTTGCAATTTGGGTGTGTTTAGCAAGTTAAAGAAAAGTCATCTAAAAATTAATATCATTTTAGTTAAACTAATAATTGTGGCTACTCTAAATTCTTTTTAAAGTTTTTTGTGTCAGTTTTTTTTTTCGAATTCGACCATAACATTTTTGTGGATGAAAAACTCATGAATTTCAATCTATGATTAATTGCTAGTTAATCTGTTCATCCACATGATTAATAGATGCTAATTGCTAACACATGGCGGTAGTTTAGAAAAGGTTAAAACGTTGCGGTCAAATGATTGACGTAATTGGAAGAACATGCACGAAACATTACAGGAATGAGGAAACCTATAATGCATGGATGCATGTGGGATCAAATAATTGTTATCGATAACGTCCAAGGATTAAACATTCATTCATATGCATATATGTAGATATATTAATCTACTTGATACATTTATGCATATAACTTATTCTTCCAACTGTTGGCAAAGTATTGTCCGAAGCAATTAAGTAATATATACATTTGATTTAACTTTTAACTATATCCGAACTATAGGTGTCTTTTTCATGTTAGAGGAACTATATGTGTCTCTTAGTGACGTGAGACACAAGAAATTTAAATTTTTTTAAAACCAATTTGTATCTTATTCGGGCTTAGAAAAATTTTGGCAGCCATTTGTTTTCTGGTAGCAATAATATACACCATGCATAAGAAAACACAGAAACACAGATATAATATACACAAAAAATAGTACGACTTGTATCAATTTGGCTCTTTTTATTTCTACAAACAATGATTGCTCTTAAGAACAACAAAAATACAACAAGCATTCCACCGCAGACTCCGCAGACCAATGGATAGTCAACTACATTTTGATGTTTATTTTAATTTCAATGTTCTAACCACAAACTCTTATAATATTGCAATTTAGTGTAAACTACTTACATAATTGAGTATAAAATAGCTTCAACCTTCATCAACAATTCATCATCAATCGAGCAAAAAACAAAAGCTAAGAGCAACAAGCTAAATATTCTTTCAGAAAATGGCAGCTTCTAAGCGACTAGTTGTCTCTTGCTTGTTCTTAGTGTTGTTGTTTGCTCAAGCCTATTCACAAGGTTTGAAAGTAGGTTTCTACAGCAAAACATGCCCACAAGTCGAGGGTATAGTTAGAAAGGTTGTGTTCGATGCGATGAAGAAAGCACCTACACTTGGTGCTCCTTTGCTTAGAATGTTCTTCCACGACTGCTTCGTTCGGGTATGTTTCTCTTATGAATCATGATTTTTATATCTTTCCTTGTGTCACGTACTCACGATTTCTAGTAAAGCGATTGAGTACTGTTGTATTCATCAATTGTCTATTCTAATGAGTGAATCGTATAATCAACAGGGATGTGACGGATCAGTTTTGTTAGATAAACCAAACAATCAAGCTGAGAAGAGTGCCGTTCCTAACCTAAGTCTTCGAGGTTTTGGCATCATAGACGATTCCAAGGCGGCTCTAGAAAAAGTGTGTCCGGGAATTGTTTCTTGCTCTGATATCTTAGCACTTATCGCTAGAGACGCAATGGTTGCAGTAAGTATTTTCACATAAATACAAAATTTCTACATATATACAAATAGAGCTCTCTCAATTTACTAGCATGAATTGTTAATTTCTAGCTTGAAGGACCATCATGGGAAGTTGAAACGGGACGAAGAGACGGTAGGGTTTCTAACATCAACGAAGTCAACTTGCCATCACCTTTTGATAACATCACCAAGCTTATCAACGATTTTCGCTCAAAGGGCCTCAACGAGAAGGATCTAGTCATTCTCTCAGGTAAGTAAAAGTGAATGATATACATGTATTAGTCTGAAAAATGAATAATTAATTAGAAACCTGTTTTGGTAATGGAAAATATACATGTTTTTTTCTAAAGGTGGGCACACTATTGGAATTGGACATTGTCCTCTATTGACAAACCGGCTATACAATTTCACCGGAAAAGGAGACAGTGACCCGAGTTTGGACTCAGAGTACGCTGCTAAGCTCAGGCAGAAATGCAAGCCCACCGATACCACGACGGCTCTAGAGATGGATCCAGGGAGTTTCAAAACATTCGACGTGAGCTACTTCACGCTAGTGGCTAAGAGAAGAGGACTTTTCCAGTCGGATGCTGCTCTATTGGACAACTCCAAGACTAGGGCTTATGTCTTGCAACAGGTAAGAACTCATGGGTCAATGTTCTTTAATGACTTTGGTGTCTCTATGGTGAAAATGGGTAGGATCGGAGTTCTTACGGGTCAGGCCGGGGAGATCCGTAAGACGTGTCGGTCTGCTAATTAAGAGATATAAAAATGAAAATATCTCTCTGTGAGTTTCGTTATTATTGTTTGCTTCTTTTATTTTGTTGTCATTAAATGTGATTGTTTTCTTGGGTATTGTTTCTTGGGAATAAGCTGTAATGCTGTCTGTATAATTTTTAAAAAGTCTTGAAAGTTCAGATTATTATCAAGGCTCAAGTTATAAGAGCAAACACAACGGTATATGTTTGCAAGGGGTGTTAGTATTAAAAAACTCAAAAAAAATACAAACAGTATGAAAAAGTTAACATCCGAGTGTTAAGTAACAAGTTGTTGTGAGGAGTGTTATCGCCACGTGGCGATTTATGAATGGATTGCAACAAAAAATAAATGTATGATATTTTTCTTCTCCCTATCTCTCTCTATCTCTCTCTCTTCTCTCTATCTCTTTTATTATATTAATTAACATCTATCCCTACAAATACACCACTGTGTATGCTCTAACGCTTAATCATTTGGAAAAAAAAAAAAAAACTGAATCAAGATGGATGATCTAATTGAATATTGAGTCCGTAATTAATTTAAACAATTTTTAAAAAACCGAATACAATTAATTTAAACCAGGTTATTAATAACAAAAGTTAAGATTTTTCAGAAAAATGGTTAAAGACAACCAACTTCAGCAGAACATCGGTTCCAAACTTTAGGAATTCTGGGACGACCTTTAGAAGCAAATGGTTTGTAATAATAAGTCTCAAACAATAGATTCCTCACCACCATGTGACATTCTTCGCCATATATCATCATTTTCATACAACAATACCTCGAAGTTGGTTTATTCTGAAGAATCTCAGACATGACTTCATCGTTACATTTTTCTCCTCCCATCATTTCACCGCAAGCCCCTGCATACTCAACAAGTTCTTTTGACTGTTTAGTAAGCACGTCTTTATTGTATTCACTCGTACTCGGAGATCTTGCAAACGTCGAGTCTAAATCAATATTGGGATCTATCAACGGTTTCTCATCATCTTCAAAAGCCAAACTTGGACAAGCAAACAATACCAACGTGGTGATCAGAAGAAATGCCATGTAAACACACTTATTAGTCTTCATTTTCTTTTCAAACTTTGGCCTCGATCTTTTTAGTGTTTTCCACCTTTTTACAACTTGTAGTTAAATTTTGCATGTGTATAATATATACACAGTAGTCATTGAATGTTATCAACTACTAATAAGTTATATTTTAATTAATTAAATTACGTTTTTTTTTTTTCAAACGTTGCAAGAAAAAGAGTTAATTAGGTTATGATATCAATATTTTATGTATTAAATGTAAAATTGAAAGAAATGGTTAATGAAAGTCTGAATTTCTTCAAAACAATTGGACGGTGCGCCAATTATCATTATTCTTTTATGAAAGTATTTATTTCAGAAAAATAAAAAAGTAGTTTGATGGAGTTATGCAAAAGAGTCTTGATATCTGTATTTTTTGGAAGATTACGAAGAAAATCTCGAGGAATAAAAATTATGTGGCGAGAGATCAATTCATAAGCCTAATGCTTTTTTTTGGTAGATACAAAAATAAAAATCCATATTAATCTCATGAATCACGCGAGGGTATTGAGAGTTATGAGTTTATGGTGATTACTCTTTGTGGCCCCATTTTTTGGGCAAATCTCTCTCACACGACTCTGTTTTTGTTTGTTTGATTCCTCTCTCTGTTGATTAACTACGCAGCCGTCGCAGCAACTTCACTCGCAACAAAGCATTCTTTTTTCTCGCTACTCTCGGACAAAGCCTTCGTCTTTGGATCAACTTTGTTCGGTTTTTCTCAATTAGGTCTGTTCGATTCCGCGGATGAAATTTGTCGGAGTTTGTGTGTGATCTGCTCTGCTCATAAAAAAAGGAAACTTTTTTCGAGTTCATTGAGGCAAATTCGTCGAATCAAGTAAATGGCATCAGTTGCCGAGAGCTCTTTTCCTCTTCTGTGTCAAATCAAGACTCAGCGTCGCGTCGTCACTTCGTCTACGCTGAGGAATTCGAGTCTTGTCCGAGTTTCTTTCCCTGAATTGCCTTCTGGGTCGCTCTCATTTCGTTGTCGGAGCTTTGTTCTCGGACATCGATGGAAGTGTGTGAGGCGCGTGGAGGCTACGGGCTCAGATTCTTCTGAATCTGCGAGTGGAGGAGATGAGCCAGAGGATGCCCTTCAGGCTACCATTGAGAAGAGCAAGAAGGTTCTTGCTATGCAAAGGAACCTTCTTCAGCAGGTACATCCTTCAAGTCTCTACTTTTTCAGTTCCTTGATTTCCTTGGTTAGTAAAGGTACCTTTTTAGCCTTTTGGAAATGATTCAGTGTGAGGATTAGGTCACTCAATTGTTTCCTAGAGATCTTTAGAGTAGAAAAGGTCCATTTTTTACACTATGAGCTGTAAGTGGGAATGTGATTAAAATATGGTGTTTATGATGCTACCTAATCTGCTTTGGAGGCTGCTCTTGAGTAGTTTTATGATTTATATGTGTTAAATTGTTCTTTGACATTTGTGTTTAACATTTTTTCACTTTATCTATCATGTTACTCTTCAGATTGCTGAAAGGAGGAAGCTGGTCTCATCTATTAAAGAGAGCAAACCTAACTTGGATGATGGAAAAGATTCTTCCAAAGAAGAGTATGGTTCTTCTGTGAATGCTAATACTGATGCAACTAAAAAAGAAACGATGGATGGAGATGGAAACGGTACTGTTAGCCCAAGCAGTTATGGCAAGTCATCTTTAAACAAAGAACCAGAAGCTAAGAGTTTATCTCCCAGTACTGAATCCCTGAAGAACAGCAAACAAAGCTCAGCGTCTGTGATATCTTCTTCCCCTGTAACCTCTCCTGAGAAACCATCTGATGTAGCCGCGAATGGGAAGCCTTGGTCTAGCGTAGTAGCCTCCAGTCTAGATCCTCCTTATAAACCATCTTCTGTTATGACATCTCCTGAGAAAACTTCTCCTGAAAAGCCAAGTCAATCTCGCGCTGGCGCATTTTGGTCAGACCCACTACCGTCTTACCTGACTAAAGCTCCTGAAACATCAAGTATGAGGACAGAGGAGTACGTGGAAACAAGAGAGGAAAAAACACCTGAAGTAGCTAGTAGTGAAACTAACGAACCTGAGAAGGATGAAGAGAAGCCGCCTCCACTGGCTGGAGCAAATGTCATGAATGTGATATTGGTAGCAGCAGAGTGTGCTCCATTTTCGAAAACAGGTTATTATTCCATTTGTTAACTTTGATCGATTGCGCGGGTTTTGCTAGCATAAGCAGGCTTCTCTTGGAGTACACTTACTGAAGTCTGAGAAATTTTATAGGCGGCCTTGGAGATGTAGCTGGTGCTTTGCCAAAGGCTTTGGCTCGGCGTGGACATAGGGTTATGGTAATAATATTTATCACAGAGTGCCTTTTTGTCAGATTAGCTCCTGTTTGATTATGGACATTGAAACTCAAACTTGTTAGATAATCATTTTCTTGTTAGGTTGTGGTTCCTCGATATGCCGAGTATGCCGAAGCCAAAGATTTAGGGGTACGGAAGAGATATAAGGTGGCCGGGCAGGTATAAAAGCTGTTAATGTATCAACTTTCAAAGTTTCTTTCCTTTCCATTTAAAACTCCTTGACGAAAGTAGATGAGGTTGAGAAAATTTCATGTGGAGCACACTTTGCTGCAGGATATGGAAGTAATGTACTTCCATGCATATATAGATGGTGTGGATTTTGTTTTCATTGATAGCCCAGTATTCCGGCATCTGAGTAATAACATTTACGGTGGAAACCGACTTGTAAGACTTATCTTATTCTCCCTGTTCTTTACCGAAAAATCAATTTCTGCCTACATGTACTAAGTTTGGTATTTTGAATCCAGGATATCTTGAAGCGGATGGTTTTATTTTGCAAGGCTGCTGTTGAGGTAAACCTCTGCTCCAAGATTGTGAACGGGAAATCGATGTTTTGCTTGCTTCTTATACTAATGTTGGTTTTCTGGAGATTTGTTTCAGGTTCCGTGGTATGTTCCTTGTGGAGGTGTGTGTTATGGTGATGGAAATTTGGCTTTTATAGCAAATGATTGGCACACTGCGTTACTACCAGTTTACCTGAAAGCCTATTACCGGGATCACGGAATAATGAAATATACACGATCTGTTCTTGTAATTCATAACATTGCTCATCAGGTTAGTAAATTCTTCATTCCATAGAAGTGATTTACTTTATGCTTATGAACTATGCATAACCTACTGGTGGAATATTAGGGCCGGGGACCGGTAGATGATTTCTCCTACGTGGATTTACCGAACCATTACTTGGATAGCTTCAAGTTATATGACCCAGTAGGAGGTGAGCACTTCAACATTTTCGCAGCTGGTCTAAAAGCTGCGGATAGAGTTCTCACTGTTAGCCATGGATATTCCTGGGAGGTTAAGACCTTAGAAGGAGGTTGGGGTCTGCATAACATCATAAATGAAAACGACTGGAAATTTAGAGGAATTGTGAACGGTATTGATACACAAGAATGGAACCCAAAATTTGATACTTTCTTGCACTCTGATGATTATACCAACTATTCCTTGGAGAATCTTCACATTGGTAAACCCCAATGTAAAGCTGCATTACAGAAAGAGCTCGGTTTGCCTGTTCGGCCTGATGTTCCCCTGATCGGTTTTATTGGAAGATTGGATCACCAGAAAGGTGTTGATTTGATAGCTGAGGCGGTTCCATGGATGATGAGTCAGGATGTTCAGCTGGTTATGTTAGGCTCAGGGCGACCGGATCTTGAAGAGGTCCTCAGACAAATGGAGCATCAATACCGAGATAAAGCACGGGGATGGGTTGGGTTCTCAGTTAAAACAGCACACAGAATAACAGCTGGTGCAGACATATTGCTGATGCCTTCGAGATTTGAGCCGTGCGGTCTGAACCAGCTTTACGCAATGAACTACGGAACCATTCCAGTGGTCCATGCCGTGGGAGGATTGAGGGATACAGTTCAACAGTTTGACCCCTATAGTGAAACGGGTCTTGGTTGGACATTTGATAGTGCAGAAGCAGGTAAGTTGATTCATGCCTTAGGAAACTGTTTGTTGACATATAGAGAGTATAAGGAGAGTTGGGAAGGGCTTCAGAGAAGAGGAATGACACAAGATTTGAGCTGGGATAATGCTGCAGAGAAGTACGAAGAAGTTCTTGTTGCTGCTAAGTATCATTGGTGAGTTAATCAAAGTTCCTTTTTTTTGTACTGTCTATATATAAAGAACCTGTCTTTGGAATTGTTAAGAAGCTTAGTTGTGTAGATTTGGTGATAAAACTACATTGGAGAAGCTCCTTGTGGTAAAGGATCAAGCTTGTTAATCTCATGCTCTCTCTCGATAGTAATTCTAAAGTGATAAATAGACTTGACAAAGTAGAACAATAATTACAAATGGTGAAAACCCTAACTTAAAGAAATCAAGAAGATGGGAATAAAACTGGAGAGAAAGTTCTAGAGATCTTGTCACCATTGAAGTGAATGTTGTTGAGCTTGTGTTGACACCACTTGAGGTGAGAAGATGAGACCAAAGACATGTGTAAAACCCTAGACACAAGCTTTAAATCAATCATTATGAATCTCACTAACATAAAATGCTCGTCTTTCTCAATCGTATCTTCTTCCATGTTAAAAGATTTCTTCTTGAACCAAATTTTCTTCTTGTTCCCTTGCATTTCCTTCAACAATTGTTCCTTCTTCACAAGTCCAATATTAAAATTCTTAGTTAAAAAAACTCTAGAGAAATTGGGAAAGTTTAAAGTCTTTAATCGATTGTAATAGAAAAATACCTTTTGGAGTGAATTTTTTAGGTCAAGAAAGAGCCTAAAGTCTCTAGGATCTTCCAATTCCATAAGAGGAGAATTAACCAAAGAGATTTTAAGTCTTTCCCAAATAAAAGGTTTTTTAATGTCTACTTTCACAAAGTCATAGAAGACTTCAATGCATTTCTCTATTGCTTTCAACAATTGTTTGTCCTGGCTTTCTTTTTCTTCTTCATGAGGTCCCTCTCTATTATATCCTTTTGAGAGAAAAAAATGTAGATACGAAAACTATATAAATTAGTTAAAAATAACTATCTAATTTTGTGTAAAACAAAGTTAGAATATCATGAGAAATTGACCAATATCATGTGAAATTATATATACGAACAATGACTTCACGATGGATAAATCATTCTAACCTCTAAATTTGAAATTTTATTTGAGTTTCGTCGTAAGCACATTTGGTTCTTGGTCAACATATAGAGTTAACAATTTTCAAGAGTACAATTGATTAAAATACATTGTAGATAAGGTTGTTCCTGTGACCTGTGAGTTGTGTGACTTATCTACCAATTTACGTCGAGAGATTCTGTCGACACATAACCTGTTAGAGACGGACCAAAAACTTGACTGTTTCCTTAGAATTACAAACAACAATTCCAAATTATAAGGTATTTTATTCATGTATGTTTTAAAAGTTAATCGATAGATTAGTCGTATCTAAAATGGAATTTTAAAATGTTTTCTTAAGGAGTATAGTCATGACTCATGAATCTTGATAGAGATTTTAGACTTTTAGTCAAGAAATCTGTTAAAACTTATCTTTTGATCCCACATCTTTATAATTTTATAAGAAAAGAAAGATTACTTGTTATAACTTAAAACAAAGTATATTTGGGTTCCTAAGATTCCAACCAACGTAATTAAAAACTATATTATATGAACTCTCAATTTATACTCGATGTAACCCACCAAGAAAATGAATATATCTATATAAATTTAGAAAAGTCTTAGTATTATTAATATGTGAATGTTTGTGATAAATAAATAGAGTAATTTACCTGAAAGTCTTGGGACTTGGAAGAAGCTTATCAACTCAAATCTTCTTTGAACAAAGCTCAGGACTCTTTTTCCTTCACACCTCTCATCTTCCAAGAACCTCTCTAACAAGACCTGAAAGTTCTGAAACTCTCTAGAGTCATAGAACCTGCCTCTCGAATCAGCGAGGTTCGAACTATCTCTCACTGTAATGTACTGATGCTGAAGAGCTTCCCATGACAAGCACGATTGAGCAACATAGACTAGCTCAAGGTCCTTCTTCATGCTTTGTTTTATCCTCTTCTCTGCCGGTTTTCCCCATAAGCTCAAACTACTTGCCGTTAGTTGGTTTGTGATCACACCTAGAAATGATAAAAATGAATATTAACACTAATTGTTTGACAAAAAAGAAAAAAAAAATATTACCATTAATGAAAGTATGATATGGTTTTTTTTTAACATATTATTGTTGTTGGTCATTGTAGATACTTTAAATCTCCTTTAGTGACAAAAAAGAAAAAAAATGAAAAAAAAGACTTACTTAGTCCATAGCTTCTATCGCGGCTGAGGATGTCATACCATCTCATTCTTTCGCAGTATTTCTTGTATACTTGATCGGTTTCATCATCTTCGACTCTTTGTGTTTGACTCTCTATCAAAACCGAATCTTGAAGCGCTGAATCCAAGCTTGCAATAGATAAAGGCGAGGGATGCTCTCTATCGCTAGATACTAGAGAAGATAGATCATTCTCCATGTCTGAGTTTACAATCCCCTCTTGTTCTTCTTCGTTATCATCGGCTAATGAATTTTCATCTTCTTGATGTATTGGCATAGTCTGAATTCCGAACCCAAGATTCTTCTCCATGTTTACAGCATCAACAATGTCAATGTCTTCTTCCTCCTCGCCCTCTTTAGCATCAAGAAGCTCATCACCAACATCTACTTGATCAAATTCATAGAATAAATCATCAACATCTTCTTCTTCAAGAATCTTGTCTTTTTGCAGAGATAACCGAACTTTTAACTGACTATCCACTTGATATTTAAACGAAAAGCTAAAGGCAGGAACCGGGTTATGAGTACTTTTAGAAAGTTCCAAGTTATCAAGGGTATTCTTGATCTCTTGCCTAGACTCAACACTACATGTAACCTCCTTTCTAACCATAATGACTCGGAGAAAACTACTAACTAGCTTAGAGAAAGTGACCAAGACCGATGAAAAGGCGTTGTAAAACGCCTGAAAGGGTGGGAGAAGCCATAAAAAGAAGAGATAGAGCCATATAAGAAGTTGGCAAAGAAAGAGAACAAGAGGGTGCATGTATAATTTCATGTAAGATAATTTCAAGAAACCATCTTGAATCACTATGGATTCTATCATTAGCCAACATGCTGAGAGTACCGCCATCAAATTTGAGAGAGAGAGAGAGAGAGAGGAGAGAGGGAGAGAGAGGGACTCAAGAGAGTGTCTTTATAAAGGAGAAGAAGATGATGAAGAAGCTGCTGAGAAAGAGCCTTGTTGAAATATTTTCCATCATACTAATTATTAAAAAATAAAGTTGGTAAAGGGTCAAGTTTATTATCTTGATTGTTCTTTCCTTATTCATTGTTCCAAGTTTTTGGTTCTAAACATGTTGGAATTATTCGGATTTGAATTTAAACTTATACAATTTGTAACAGAAAAATATTCGTCTTTAGTGAATTAACTAAACCTATAAGGCCATGTATTGGCTATAATCATTTTTTTAATTAAAAGAGCCAACTTGACCCTCCATAATTTTCTAATTGTTAACCTACTGGCAGAAAAATGGAAATAATAACATGATTTTGTTAACTTTTTATCTATCATGTTTCTTCTTTCCTTCTTAAAATCACAAGTTTTCTTGTTTTAATGCTGGGTGATATATACGATCAGTTTAAGTGTTTAAGTTAACGATATTTACTCTGAAAATCATTTTATTTAGTATAATCCAACCATTATGTTGCACTATTTACTCATGTAAACTTCCTATTTCGCAGATCAAGTGATCATCCGTAACTAACATAAGCACAAGATTTTGCAACAAATAGTAATTTAGGACCTTTGTTTTACCAACTTGTTGGATCAAGATAGTTGACTCCATATAAATCGTACATTAACCATAGAAGCTCATCACTTCTCAAGCTACATCACAGAGCACATATGAAGAACATAGAAAGCTAACAGACACACATACACACATGATGATGTTCTTCAATGTTAGTAACAGCTCTTTTGTAACCTGCACAAAAGTTTCAACCTAACCAGATCATGCCAGAAACAACATTCAATGCCTATTTCCATAGGGCTCGATCCCGAACGCGAAAAAGTAAGCACAAATCAGAGAGTATAACCAAAATGTTCTTCACTATAACCTGTTTCCCACAATATCCTTACAATGCTTATTCCCATTGTACATTATTTAAACACATAAGACTATAACATAAATAAGTTCTTGTAAAAGAGTGTGTATGAGAATAAAACTAACCGAAGAAAAATGTAATGATCCAATCTCATTTCCAAAGATTAAACCTTTTTTAACTCTCTCTTATTCATTTCTTGATCTTCCTCTGCTGCTTCTTTGGCCCCGAAACCACTAATCTCCTTACAGAACAACCACATCTGGCTCTGAAAACCAGAACGGCTCGACCATTAGGTGGTGCCATCTTCTTCAGCTCAGCTTCCAATTCACGGTGATGGACACGAGGCAACTCAAACATTCCCCTCTTGTTGCTATTGTTATTCGAGCTCTTCACGCATTCCTCTGTCTCAAGCTGAATATCAAACTCAACAGCTTTCCTAAGCCCTTTACAATTCGGTTTCCCGCATCTCTGCATAGTACACAAGAGTATAACAAGCCAAGTAGAGATCGCAGCACAGAAGATACTCAAAGCTAATGATCCATACACAATCGGGTTCTGCAAAATCTCTTCTTTGACTAAAACCGAGAGATCCGAGAAGACCTCAATCGATTTGAGGGTGATGAGTTTGACGTAAGGGAAGAACAAGAACCCGCAGGCGGTGATCACCGCTATAAGGATGACAACATCGATAGCAGCCGATTGAGATCCGTCGCAGACAGGGAATTTAGAACAGGTTGTTGGTGATGATGTGTAAGAAGATTTATTACGGGTGTTTCTGGATTTAGGGTGCAAATCTGAGGAGTGAACAGAGTTAGACATGATCAAAGTTTGAGCTTGGTCGACGGAATTGCAGACCGAGATTGAGCTATGCAAATATACCATCTCACTCACAAAACTCGATTCCCTTTAGAAAACACAAAACCGATTTCGATTTTTTCCTCTTTACCAAACAAAAATCCAATTCGAACTAGTTAGGGATTGGATCTCCACGAGTTTAATCAGAAACGATCTATGAAACTAGATTTGAATCCCAATTCTTCGATCAAAACCCAGAAATCAGATCGAGCAAACGAAGATGAATATCAAAGTCACCTGATTAAATTTGGATATAGAGGCTCGATTTCAATCTGATCGACGAAATCAGATCAAACGATGAATCTTCTTCTTCTTCCTCCGTAACCCAACTTCTCAGTTAGTACAAACTGATCGGATACCGATCCAAAAGAGAAGAGATTGAAGCGAGCACAAGAAAGGTTCCTGAAGCAAGAAATTCAACGTGTAGAGAGAAACTGAATCGTCGTCGTCGTCGTCATGATGAATTCAAAATTAATCTTTTTTTTTTTGAAGGGTCCAAATCCAATCGGAATGTGAATCGTATATTCGTGTAATGAGAGCACAAGTAGTGACACATAAGCGTTTTTAGATAACTCTGTTTTTTTCACATGACGTCATAAAGAAAGAAAAAAAAAAACATATTATTATATTTGAGCTCAAAAGCAGACATATAAAAACCCTAACTTTGTGATACTTCTGCTTCTTCTACCTTGTAAACAGCCACTACTCCTAAAACCCTAAAAGCTCTGTTGTTCCTGAATCAAATCTAACAATGGGTTCGAAGAACAAGAAACAAAGGAAAGGAGAGAGCAATGAAGCTAAAGGATCCGGTGGAGTCGCAGACGAAGCAAACGAAATGATTAAGGATCCAAGGTTTTCGTCGGCGCACACTGACCCTAAATTCCGTAGGATTCGGAGGCGTGACTCCAAAGTCGCGATTGACTCTCGGTTCCAGCTGATGTTCAATGATAAGCGATTTACTACTGATTCTGCTCCTGTCGATAAGCGTGGCAAGCGGAGAAGAGGAGGCAGTGGCAAGGATTCACTTCGGGAGTTTTATCAAATTGAAGATGAAGATGAGAAGAAGAAGAAGAAGAAGAAAACTGAGGAGGAATCTGGGGATGAGAGCGAGAGTGAGAAAGAGATGATTGATCTGAAATCGGAAAAATCTAGCGATGTAGAATCAGAGGACGAGAGTGAGAAAGAGCTAAAGGTTGCTTCTTTGGATGAAGAAGACTCTGATGAGAAATCAGAGTCTGACGAGGAAGCAGACTCTGAAGAGGTATCGCAGGAGGAGGAGGATGATACAGATGAGGACGATGAAGCTATCTATGAAGACGAGGGACCAGAAATTCCGGTAAAATTGCTCAACTTTGATTCATATGCCTTGTTGTTGTTTTTACTAGTTTTTGAGATATAATGATTTTCTCATGTTGCAAATTTGGTGTTGATGATGGTTTGTAGGAAGAGAACATACCGTTTATCCCAGAAGAAACTCACAGACTGGCTATTGTTAACATGGATTGGAGACATGTCTCTGTAAGTTCATAATCGATGATGTTTTGTTTCAAATCTTTGCTATGGTTATGGAACTAATCTAATGAGTGGGAATGGATACTGAAGAATTAAGCTTTCTGCTCGAAAACCAGAGCTTGTTTGTTTCTTTGCTTTGTCTAGAGTCAGTGTTCTGTAAGTTTTGCACTTGTTCTTATGGATGATATCTTATGTGTTACTTAGGCTAAAGACTTGTACGTAGTTTTGAATTCGTTTCTGCCAAAAGATGGGCGCATTTTGTCAGTAGCAGTCTATCCATCTGAATTTGGACTTGAGCGAATGAAAGAGGAGGAAATCCATGGGCCTGTAATTGATGGCGACAAAAAGAATGAAGGTAGTGATGATGAAGATGAAGAAGAGGAGGAAGATGAGGATGTCATCAACCAGAAGCTACGTGCCTATGAAATAAGTAGATTAAAGTAAGTTCGAATCTTCTCTATTTAAGCTATATGTGGTGGAAAGAGGGACTATTACTGAAACTCGCTATTACTATTGCTCTGTTTTCAGGTATTATTTTGCTGTTGCCGAATGTGATTCGAGTGCTACTGCAGATTACTTGTACAAATCATGTGATGGAATTGAGTTTGAGAGATCCTCTAACAAGCTCGACCTAAGATTTATTCCCGATTCCATGGAATTCAAACATCCACCTCGGGATACTGCATCTGAGGTGCGTTACCGCTACTTCCTTTTACTTGAGATCTTTTGGTTTCATGGTGAATATACTTCTGATCTTATAGTTGTTATAAAAATTTAGGCACCTGCTGGTTATGAAGGTTTAGATTTTCAGAGTCGAGCACTGCAGTTGAGCAAAGTTAATCTTTCTTGGGATGAAGATGAACCACACCGCATTAAGACCTTAAATCAGAAATTCAACCCTGAACAGGTTTGTAGACGGTTTATAATTTATGTGATTAGGCTTAATTGCTTAAAAGCATCTCCTTTAGTTGTAGTGTTAGTGTTCTGATATAATGTATAACATTTTGTCAATCATAGTTGGCAAATCTTGAGATGAAGGAGTTTTTAGCTTCTGATGAGAGTGATTCTGATGACGAAGACGAGGACATCGATGAAGATATTAACCAGAGTAAAAGAAAGGATAAGAGGAAAGATAAGTACCGAGCTTTAATTGAATCCGAAGATGTTGATTCTGATAAAGACGTGGAGGAGGAGGATGGCCAGGATATGGAGGTAACATTCAATACCGGGTTAGAAGATCTTAGTAAAGAGATTCTTAAAAAGAAAGACAGCAAGTCAGAATCGGTGTGGGAAACATATCTAAGGCAGAGACGTGAGAAGAAGAGAGCTAGGAAGAATAAACAGAACGATGATTCTTCTTCTCCGGATGATGATGATGATTATAATATTGATCGAAAGGCAGTGAAAGATGATGGTGATGACGATTTCTTTATGGAAGAACCTCCTCTCAAGAAGAAGAAGAAAGAAGGAAAGACGAAGAAGAAGGGTTTAGAGGAGGAAGTAGCAGCGGAAGAAAAGAGCAGAGCGGAGCTTGAGTTGTTACTAGCTGATGAGAATGCAGGAGATGGTAATGGTCTGAAAGGGTATAATATTAAACGGAAAGGTAAGAAAGGAAAAACTGATATTTCGGAAGAGAAGATACCTGCGGCTGATCTTGATGATCCGAGATTCTCAGCTCTATTCTCGTCTCCTTTCTATGCTCTAGACCCTACGGACCCACAGTTTAAAAGGTAAATTGATGAAAATTTGGTTTTTTATGAGAATGTGTTGTGTGAATTGCGAAGTTTATGAATTTTGGGGGATACTTTTTTTTTTTGCAGGAGTGCGACTTATGCAAGGCAATTAGCTGCAAAGCAAAAGGAAGATCCAAAAAGCCAGGAGGATGTGAAAGCGCCAAAGGAGAAACATGAGTTGAATTCAGATGGTAACTTTGGGTCGAAGAAGGAGAGACATGAACTGACTTCTACTGTCAAATCTTTGAAGATGAAGATGATGAACAAGGATTCTGAGAAGAAAAAAGCGGGAAATGCAGTGTCTTCGTCCACTTTGGCTCAGCGAATTAAGAAGAAAGCCAAGGATTTATCAAACAAATAATGTGTTTGTTTCCTTCTTCAAATCAATTTTGTCTTTTTTTAAAAAAAAAATTAATATTAAGATCACTGATATTTTACAAACATTGTTTTAAAGAACTGTAACAATTTCAACCTGCATTCTACTCTGTCAAATCGGTTTGTGTTTCATTTGTCATCTAGTCTTTGAAAACGTTTCACATCTAGTTCATTTTATCTTTATGTTGCTTTGAAGGATATGGAAATATTGTTGCTGTGTTCATTATCAGGCCACACTAATAGATGGGTTTTTCATAATACTTGCACCTATATGAGCTAGTCTGCATCAATGAGTCATAATCTATGACTTTTGAATCTAATAGCAAGCGTAACATTGGCGCTTGGAACGTGTTTCGATTTATTATTGGTTTTCCCACTTAAAATATGCAATAACAAAAGATAAACAATCACACTTTTACCTCAAACAAACCTAAACATGGAAACACTCCCCAGTGGCGGCAGCAAAATCCGAAATTTTTAAGTAAACTCAACCATAGTAAGGAGGATGACCTGAGGGTGAAGCCCCATTGGGATCAGATGATGGGTACATATATGGGCTTCCACCATAGCCTGAGTATTGAGTTTGCACTTGCGGGTTCTGCCAACCTGTTGGTGGAGCAGCCGACACTCCGGGACCCTTCTGTGCCACAAGTAGGCTTAGATCGGGGAGTGTATAGTCTCTGCTTTTGTCGCTAAACGCCTTCATTCAAACACGGGGAAATCGAAGAAGAAAATTAGAAGTTGATTTAATATTTTGCTGCGAAATGTAGAAAAGAAAAAAGCATACGCAATTTAGTTACTATTCTCTTCCCCTCACAATTGTTGTTTTTTTAGGTACACTTCTCAAAAAAGCAACAAATCTTATGTACCTTAACATTGAGATCAGTATGACGAGAGTATGATAGTCGAAGCTTACAGTAGCCACCGTCATAAATGCAGTGTCCTTCCAGTGCTTCTTTGGCTATTGCTGCTGTTGGTATATCTACAGAGACGAAATAGAAAACACTAAGCAGAAGATGATTGTATAGTAACCAAAAGATGTTCACAATTCATAAAGGGGTTGAATCGGGTCACAATCAAACATTAGTGCAGATCATTAGTCAGATGTACCAGAGTATTGAATTAATGCTTGCGTTGAACCATTCTTCTCAAATATAGCAATCTTCTGGACAGTTCCATATGCAGAAAACACCTATGAGAAGCAAAGGATATTATTTTTGAGAAATTAAGCATGATTAGAAGGAGAAATGTGCATGACTGTTGTTCCTCACCGTGTGAAGAACATCCACAGTGACAGCATACTGCATATTCTCAATCAAACCGAGAAGGACGTTGCTCTGAGATTCAACTTTCTTGCCGTCAGCACCTAAAGCAGGCTGAAGACAATGTCATAGACCACGTAAGAAAAGGTAAATACTGGTGGAGAGGGATAGATAAAAGTGCAGGGAACGCAGGGGAAGAAAATAATACCTGCATAGACCCGTCCATTGCGGTGTGATTCACTGGAAGGTATGGATTTGTGTAATCTCTGAGTACATCAACGAATCAAACATATGAATCAACTATTCTAACATAAGGTGTTCATATTACTGGCAGCATATGCAGAAACTCTACCTGCTCCGGTGGGACTGAAACTTGATGTTGAGATCAGTATGAGCTGAATAAGACATTCGCAAATTGCACGAACCAACATGTTCTGGAAGCAAATATCTGAATTTAAATGTTCCAAAAACAAAAGAATAAATAATCAGTAGAGTTATTTCCTAAGAAGAAAACACGGGTTGATGGAATGCAGAAAGAATTTGAGTATACCTGGGTATACTTCTGCCATCCAACGCATTCCTTGCCGCAGATGCAGTCTCCACATCACTAAATTGAACTAGTGCCTGGCGGGTTAGGAAAGCAAAAATAAGTTTAATATCATTGTATTCATCTCCATAGAGACAAGACGGTCAATACCAATCTCAACATGTCACCTGGAAACCAGCAGCTTTCTCAAAAGTGGCAATTTTGTGAACAAATCCAAAAGCAGAAAATACCTGAAACAAGTTTGAACTCGATATCAATCATGACCATACATTGGAGGGAGAACAACTTAGGGAACCAAATCAACAAAAAGAAACTCAAATGTTCCCGGATTGGGGCTAAAAAAGAGAAGCCCAGATAAGTACAGAGTGACACCTGTCCACTTATGGGCATGATAGACCATAGATAGGAGAATGACGAACACGATACTATTTCCAAACTCTCTCCAGAAAGATTTTAATAAAGAGGCATCAACATCTGTGATTCGAGCATTTCATTAATGTTGACATACTGTAACTGGAATAGTATATCTAAGTAAAAATTACTCAAAGAAGTTTGCTTGATTAGAAATTTTTATATATTCATCTGCTCGAAGCACGACACACTACCGCATGTAATGCCTGACCCATGTAAAACCATCAATCTCAACAATTTTCATCAAATATAACCAATTCCAACGGAGAAATACCCATGGATTAAAAAAAAATCAGTGAAAGAAGCTCACACTCAAAGTGCTAGGTAAACCAAAATCCTAAAACCAAGTAATTGCACTCACCAGATGGATAACATCGATGCTGACTTCATGAGATTCCACTCCTTCAAAGGTAACCAAGAGGACATTTCCCGGGACATCACCAGGACTCTGATTGTTAACAATTTCATGGCGATTAGAGTACTGAATATAGACAGTTTTGCCCCGTATCTGTGCGGGCTCTGAAGATGAAGCATAATACGAAACCATTGATATAGCTTGATTCAAGTCAGCCTGTAAATCAAATTAATGGTTCATCAATAGAAATCGCGAAAACGCAAGCTGGAAGAGTCTACCATAGATGAGAAACCTATTCCGGGTGAGAGATACTACAATTCGATTCTAGGTTTTATGTTTGGTGCTAAGGGAGAAAAAGCTCACAAATTCGACGAAAGCTTGATTGCGATTGGCGCCGACATTGCTCTTGGTATTGACGATCTTGCCGAATCGTTTACAAAGGTCGATGAGCTCCTCTTCGACGCATTCCCATGGAAGATTCCGCAGATGCACCACCTTCGACGGCGTCTGCGTATAACGGAACTGCGTTTGGCCTGAGCTCGACATCTCCGGCAAGGTGTTCGATACTTGTTCGGATTTGATAAGCGAACGATCACAACAACAGAGCAAAGCCGGCGGAGAAAGTAGCTCGATTCGATTCTCTTTGTGATCGGAACCCAAACCATACAGCTAAAAGATCACGAATATTTGCAATTCTGCCCCCAATATTTTTATCTTCTCCATATTTGACCCTTAATTTCTAAGGACGTAATACTAGTCCATACACAGAAGAAAAGAAAGAAGCAACTAGTTTTGGTTTGATACTTTGATAAGAAAATAAAGCCCATGGAAAGAAAAGGAAATTTCTTTTTTTCTTTTGAACCTCTTTGTATTAAAATAAGGAAACATAATTGCCGCTAACGGCTCTATTGTAATCTCTCTTGTGTATATATAACATTGATCCATCGATTGAGATTAGACCTAATTAACACTTTTGCTTATAGATAAAAAAAAAAAATACTCTCTCACGCAGCTTCTTCTAATTCTTTCTTCCTTGAGAGAAACAGAATCAAAACTCTCTCTATTTTGAGCGACTGTCTTTATACAGAAACTCTTGTGAATTTCGATGATGATCCAATTAGTAGACATTGAAGACGTGAGAAGCCGATGATGATGAATTGATGATCTCTGCAACATGATCCGTAAGAGTTAGATTGATCGGAGCGGAAAGCATCGTTTCATTATGATCTCTGTACGTCAACCCTCTGTCGTCACCGGCTAATGATCTAGCCACCGTAAAGATTTCACCGGAGGAAAAAGATGTCAACGAGGTTAGCTGTCTGTTGTTGAAGTCAATAAAGCCACTATTAGATCGCATCCTGATAGAAAATAGGTGACAAGTTAAAGAAAGAGATGAGGAGTCAGACGAAATTGAGGAAGAAGAGATGTTGATTTTTGTTGATCTTTTCGATAATCCGTTTCAGGGTTAGAGAGAGCAGTGCAGGTGTTGGGACTTTTGGTTAAGTGTGGGCTCACATCTGGTCTTCTAATGGGCTTTTTTGGGCCTTCTTTGCTACCACTTCAACAAGGTACATTATTTTTTTCACTCTTATTTTTAATTTTATTTCCTTCAAAAAATTATTTTAGGTAAAACTAAAACTAATTAATTTACAACACTAAATCATTTAAATAAATAAATCTTTTGAATTTTAACACTTAAAAAACAAATTTAACATTTAAACTTTAAGAAACTAATTAATAAATGTTAACTAAAAATATGTTAATTTCACTATCAATTTTTAAAAATTAGTTTAAGTGTTCAATTTTAGAAACGTCGAAAACTAACCGCGCCTAGGCATCCTGTCCTTAGTTGGTCCGTAAGCTTTGGTGTTCGAAGTTCGGCAGGTTTTCACGTAATATAGATTTAACACTTAAACTCAATTTTGAAAAATAATAATGATTTTCACTAAAATTTAGAAAACAAATTTAACATTTAAACTTTAAGAAAATAATTAATAAATGTTAACTAAAAATATGTTAATTTCACTATCAATTTTTAAAAATTAGTTTAAGTGTTCAATTTTTAAAAAGTCGAATACTAACCGCGCTCAGGCATCTTGTCCTTAGTTGGTCCGTAAGCTTTGGTGTTCGAAGTTCGGCAGGTTTTCATGTAACATAGATTTAACACTTCAACTCATTTTTGAAAAATAATAATGATTTTTACTAAAATTTAAAAAACAAATTTAACATTTCAACTTTAAGAAAATAATTAATAAATTTTAACTAAAAAATATGTTAATTTCACTATCAATTTTTAAAAATTAGTTTAAGTGTTCAATTTTAAAAACGTCGAAAACTAACCGCGCCTAGGCATCCGGTCCTTAGTTGGTCCGTAAGCTTTGGTGTTCGAAGTTCGGCAGGTTTTCACGTAATATAGATTTAACACTTAAACTCATTTTTTGAAAAATAATAATGATATAAAAAAACAAATTTAACACTTAATCTTTAAGAAAATAATTAATAAATTTTAACTAAAACTATGTTAATTTCACTATTACTTTTTAAAAATTAGTTTAAGTATTCAATTTTAAAAACGTCGAAAACTAATCGTGCTTAGGCATCATGTCCTTAGTTGGTCTGTAAGCTTTGGTGTTCGAAGTTTGACAGGTTTTCACGTAATATAGATTTATCACTTAAACTCATTTTAAAAAATAATAATGATGTTCTCTAAAATTTAAAAAATAAATTTAATACTTAAACATTAAGAAAATAATTAATAAATTCTAACTAAAATCATGTTAATTTCACTATTACTTTTTAAAAATTATTTTAAGTTTTCAATTTTAAAAACGTCAAAAACTAACCGCGCCTAGACATCATGTCATTAGTTGGTCCGTAAGCTTTGGTGTTTGAAGTTCGGCAGGTTTTTCCATCTTTTTTTTGTTGTCAACAATTTGTTTTCCCATCGTTATGTAGATTTATCATTTAAGTTTTTAATTGCTATTTTTAAAATTTGTATATTGTTTCACTTTTTAAAATAAAATTTAAAATTTTACATTCAAGTTGTTTTCGAGTTGAACTTTTAGCTTTCAAGCTTATATAATTTTATTTTTATTCTAGTGGGAGTCAAGGACTCCTCACTTTTGTAGTTTTGTTATATGATTGATTTTCGTTTTTGTTTTGCTTTGAATTTTTGATATTATTTTGTTAAACTCGAAAAAGGCAAATTACTTTTGATGTGGTCACAGAGAATTGGGACTTCAAAGTTCACAACTTGGAGCTGTTTTTTGGCCCTACATGAACTAACTATCAGTTAAATCTCATATCCTCTTAATATTACTTGTATTCTTTGTCGAGAGGGTCTCAATAGTGTGTACTGTTTGAAAAGGGACTACTAATCCATTAATACAGTTTTAATTCTATTATTAACTAGTCTTTAACACTGTACTAAGTTTGTTGTAGTTTCTTTCTAACACTTGCGTGGCTTGTTTCTTGCCTTAAGTTCTTCTCTAAAAGTGATTGATTATGCTTGGTCTACTGTGATTAAGATGAAAGTTGGCTTGTTTGCTTCCTTCCTCTATGTTGACTTTTAGTTGGATGATTTGGTCATATCTTGCTGAAGCTAGTGAATGGAAAAGGTTAGAGCATCACTTACTGAGAGATGTTTTGATTGAGAACAAGCAATTTTGACTTGCTTTTTTGGGATATTTTTATCTTCTTATCATTAGGAAACCTGGGAAGAATCTAGTCAGGCTTTGGCCAATGGACAAGGAATGTCTCGATCCATTACAGAAGTTGGGGAAACAGTCTCTGCGTTTTTGTATGTGTTGTGTTCAGTAATTACTAAGCGAACTTAAAAGTGTTTCACATAGTTTTTTCTACGAAAAGTTTGAGGAAAAAGACTTGAAGCATTCATGTACTTCTTGTTTACTGTTTTTCCATGCGTGTGACTGACTCGTTGTTCTTTTTGGTAGAACCAGCGCACACTGATGCAAAAGACTTGGAGCATTGATGTGGGAATTTAAGAAACTATAATTTCTGGTCCAAAGACTAATGATGAAGAAAAGCAAATGGTTATCGGTTGACTTTAAAAGCTTTGGCCCCTCTTCTAAGCTCATTGGTTCTTATTTCTCTCAATCTAAGCTACGTGGATGGATGAGATTTTGACAAGTGGAATCATCATCTATGAAGGTTATTGAGCACTGTTTGGACCATAAGAGATGAAAGATATGAACTGAGCAAGACAATTAAAGAGGTGTCCCCATTGTCCTTTACATCTTTTGCAGTCAATATGATTTTTTCCAAATTTCTTTTTTGTTTTTATTGGTACAATTCGTTGGGCCTTGTGATTTTGTCTTATGGTTTATCTTTCTTTGAGTCGATGAAGATACTTTCTTCTCTTCCTACAAGCTTGGAGCCCACCTCAATAAATCCTTTCTTTGCTACCATGGCACACACTAGGATACTCTTTTCTTTGTTTGGTCTGGTAAAATCTCTTTAATGTCACCGTCACCGCCATTACTCGTCTACCTTTCTTGGCAGCCAAAGTTACCTTTGTCGACAACATTTGATCACCTGCAAACTATCCAAACCGTGTACGTTACTAAAATATTGCATAATGGTCAGTAAGAAACAGGGTATAGATTCTGATTGTGATCAATATTTTACCTTTTGTGATATGCTACTGGTTAAATGGTAAACTAAATAGTGGTTTTTACCTCATCAAGTAGCTGTTTGATGGTTAAGTTTCTGTATACTTTTCATCATTCATTGTCTATGTTAGTTTATCTTAGTGAAAAAATAGATTTTCTGATGAATTGACAACAAGAACAGTGGAGCAGCCAGTGGGACTTTCATTAAATGGTAAAGGAACCACACAAGGAAAGGTTTTTCACCTCCTTTCTTCTTGCTCCCCACCACATTTGTGCTTCCTCTCTTCATTTATAAGGTTAGAATCTCTTCCAAATTCACAACGGTCAAAATACCGTGTTTACCGCGGTCAAAGTTTTCTGATAAAATCTTTAGAGACAGTGACCATTAGTGTAAATGTGTTAGCATCAAACTATTGTTGCTTCCACAGGGAGAATATTACCATTTGCAGAGAAGTGACTAGTTGAATAAAAAACAAGTCTAAGCTAATGACATCATAGACAACCAATTAATTACTTGCAACTACTTTACATTTTCCCTTTTTTTTCCTTCTATAATTAGGGTTTATGAATCATTAAGACTTTTTGCTCTAAGTTACTCCAAATATCATCAATCCTCTATGTCTGATTTGCTTTTCCCATTATAGTGCCAGCTTCCACTTCTTCACCGCCATTTAACAGCATTTACTATTGTGGAGTTTCTACCAAAAAGCTAACAAAAATGTGAAAAGAAGAAATCAATAAACACGTTTTCATAAAGTAGTGTAACTAGTTATAGGTAAGACTGTAAGTGAGAAAAAACAATAAGAACTCTGTAGCATTCAAGAAACCATAACTTAATAGGATACCTGTAATAAGAAACCTTGAGCATCTTTTTGACCCTAGTGTAAAATAATTGAGTTTTAGTGAGAAGTGTTTAAAACATGTAACTAGTTTAAAAGGTTTTTGATCCGAAAAACCGATGAGGGCATTTGGGGTGACCATGTAGGGATCAGAGACTCTCGATAGCGAACCTTGACGCTAGAAAAATGCGAAAAATGACAAGAATGGTTTAAATGTCAAAACAGTTAAAGGACCACAGAGTTTGTTCAAGGCTAATGGGAAAAACATTCTTCTCTATGACATTATCCTAAGTTGCAGGGTTATCAAAGTGAGGGTTATTGATAGATGTTGACCTTAAAATTTACTCCAGGTTCTGGAAATTCACTGTTTTACCTTGTGTTAAGAGGTACAACTTCAAGGTAAAGATGGCTACTGTTTTGGTGCTCTGTTGAGTCTTTAAAAGGAAATCAAGGTGTTGGAACCACAAAGGTAATAATATCCCTCGACCCCATCTTATTGAATGCCAATCCATGTCAGAGACCGGGAAAAGGGGCGCTTACAGAACCTAAACAGAGACACCTTCTGTTGTGTTTCTCCCTCTATATATCAGAGTGACGCCAAGAGAGCAGCTTTTGTGATTATACTGATCATGTAATGACAACTATCTCATACATTACGTTATTAAACCGTGGATCAGACTGAAGCTTCTTCATCAGCAGATTAGACTAAACTGTGTGGCAAAACAATGGGTAGATCGCCGTGTTGTGATAAGGCCGGGTTGAAGAAAGGGCCTTGGACACCAGAAGAGGATCAGAAACTTCTGGCTTATATTGAAGAACATGGCCATGGAAGCTGGCGTTCTTTGCCTGAGAAAGCCGGTAACTTCCCCCACATTCTCTGCTCTTTTCTCTTCCACAAAACCGCACATTTTCTTCTTCTTCTGTCTCTATTCAAACCTTTGCTTCAAACTCCTTATAGGTCTCCAAAGATGCGGAAAGAGTTGCAGACTCAGATGGACTAACTACCTAAGACCTGACATCAAGAGAGGCAAATTCACTGTACAAGAAGAACAAACCATCATTCAACTCCATGCTCTCCTCGGAAACAGGTAACCCAACAAGTTTGATCATTTGTGATTGCTTTAAAGCCAAATTGATCTCTGAGATGTGTCTTTCATCTCATAGGTGGTCAGCGATTGCAACTCATTTACCAAAAAGGACAGACAACGAGATCAAGAACTACTGGAACACACACTTGAAGAAACGTCTGGTCAAAATGGGGATAGATCCAGTGACCCACAAGCACAAAAACGAGACACTTTCGTCTACCACAGGTCAATCCAAGAACGCAGCCACACTTAGTCATATGGCTCAATGGGAGAGTGCTAGACTCGAAGCTGAAGCAAGGCTAGCTAGAGAATCAAAGCTTCTCCATTTACAGCATTACCAAAACAATAACCTTAACAAATCAGCTCCTCAACAACATTGCTTCACTTATAAAACATCAACAAATTGGACTAAACCAAACGAAGGTAAGAGACATCATTGGTCTTAAAAAAAGACTCAACTTTGATTGGTTTTGGTAATGTATCAATGGAAATTTTGACAGGAAACGGAGATCAACAGCTTGAATCTCCGACATCGACGGTGACATTCTCCGAGAATCTTCTCATGCCTTTAGGAATCCCGACGGATAGCAGAAATAGAAACAATAACAATGAATCCTCTGAGATTCCGGCGATGATTGAATTCGCCGTCTCTTCCTCAACCTCCTCCGATGTGAGTCTGGTCAAAGAACACGAACACGACTGGATTAGGCAAATCAACTGTCCTAGTGGAGGAATAGGAGAAGGATTCACGAGCCTTCTGCTCGGTGATTCAGTCGGCCGGATTTTACCCACCGGGAAAAACGAAGCGACGGTCGCCGGAGCCGGCGTGGTGAATGAGAGTGAGTATAATTACTATGAGGATAACAAGAATTACTGGAATAGCATTCTCAACTTGGTTGATTCTTCACCGTCCGATTCCGCCACGATGTTCTGATCTAAGGGTCTATAATTATTTCTCCAAACATTTTTAATACTGTTTTTTTTCTTTTTTTTTTTAATGTCGATAGCTTTCCAATAGTTTTACTTTTTTTTTTTTTTTTACTTATCTTTATTTTCTCTCTATATTATTACATGGGATGAAATTTCATGAAAGTGTGTCCTTTTCTTTTGACAAAAAATAAAAAAATAGTACACTATGTTTTGGTTTTTGCATAATTGCTTGTAGCAAATCCAATTTCAAATGATCATAAACAGTTTTTAGAAGATTATTTTAAGTACTAGTAGTTTGTACTAACGTCCTTGTCATTTGGCCAATACATACATAAGGGAACCTCCTTCAACACGACTAGTCACAAATTCTAATACTTTTTTTTTTTTTTGGTATCTATTAGAATTTCCCACATTGCTTGGGATTAAGATCTTTGGATGGTATATAAAGGATGTGGCAATCCTTAACTCTTGAGCTAGCTTTTGGGTTAAATTAGGCCACATTCCTAATAGTATCATTGGTTTAATCGAATATAGATTACCACTCCGTATTCTTTAAAGTTGCTGAGAGCGAAGCTTTAGCTTTTGGAAAAATATTCCGGAGGAGATAGATCTTCATATTCCTAAACCACCGGTTGTGGTCTAATTATCAAATTTAGAGAAGTGGATGAAGAGGCTGTAATTATAACAACACGTTGACATGTCGAGTAAAAGAAAGAAAAATTCAATGCTTGGTTGTTTCATGTCGTTTTCTTTATCATAAATAGGAGTATATATGATCCATAGTAATAAAACAGATACAATTTACTAATAGATTCAATATTTTAAAAATGGTTACATCCATCGATTACAAATGCATTGATGATATTCAATCTTATTTTTTAGATTTATCGTATTTAATCATTTTACTAAATCAAATGTGAAATGTGCATACAAATTTGGGCGTAAGAGTAAGAAGAATATGATGGGCCGGAAGTATATTACTATTGAATAAAGGCCCATAAAAAGCCCAATTATTTACTTTTCTGAGAAGAAGGAGACAAAGGAGCCGCTTTGGTCTTTCTTTCATATCACAAGCAACTCCTCGCGAATCTGAGATTTCGGAAGATTCGATCGATTTTGGGGGTTTTAGGGTTTAATCTCTGCCGACGAACTACTTATCAATGGCGCCACCTCCAGGACTTTACTCCGGCACCAGCACTCTTGCTCTGGTAAACTTAACTATCTATCTCTCTCTCCCCCGATCAATTTCTCGATCTGTATCCTTGATTTGTAGAATTTTTGGTTTTTAAGAATTCATCGAGTCTTTTTCTTGTATCGATTTAGGTTGCTCGTGCTTCGGCTTTCGGGTTGGGTCTCATCTACGGCAACATCAAGCTCAAGGCTTTGAAGGTACATCTCTATCTTCCTTGTCTTGTTTTCATCAGAAATCTCGAATCAATTTTTTAGGAAATTTTGAGAATATGGGTCACATGATCTGTTGTGGATGTTTAAATAGGTTTTAGCTTCGTGAATCTGACACTCTCCATCGTAGCAAATTCGAAGATTATGGCTTTTGAATTAGTGAGAATTTGATTCAGTCTCCATCGAATCATGTGTTATACTCATTGTTGCTTGACTGATACTTTGAAGTTTCAATTTCTTATGCTACTTTGCTCCTTTTAATTTTGGTCATTCATATACAAGTAACCCAATGATTATGCCTGAATTCCGATCACATATTCCATTGAATGATCATAGTTTTACACTTTTACTTGATGTTTACTTGATGTTTAGTAGTTTCTTGCCTTTTAAAAGCATAAGTTTGCGATGTTGTGTCTGGTACCCTAAGAAAATAGTTATGAAGGTCGAGCATTGGCTATTTACTTAAGAGCATCCCATTGTTTATTCATCCAGATTAGGTGTGGAATCTAATTATCTACTGTTACTTGATTTGCTAAGTGATACCAACAAATGCTTCTTCATATGCAGATAAAGAAGAATTCACAGATTAAGGCGGAAGCCAAGGCTCATCACTAAACCAACTCTTCTCAATAAGAATATGAAGCCAAGTGATTGTTGCCTCTATATGTAGCTGTTTCATCCTTTAATCTATATCTCCCTTCGGTGACGTTTTGTCGATTTTTGTGTTTTTGATGAATCAAAATCTTTTGTCTGACAAAGCAATCGTATACCATTTTGGTTTAAACCTGAGCTCCTCTTTGGTACTTTGCTATTCAATAAACACCATCTTTTTATAAACCAGATTGATGATAAAATATATATTTTTTCCACTGAAGGAAAAAAAAATCTGTCGTGACAGAAGAGTTAAAGTAAGCAATTTGCTATCCAGGGCGACCAATGTAGTCATTGCTTTGTGGCAAGAACACGGTGTGTTCGACCTGCAAGGTCGTGGCTTCGAACATTGGACACACACACTTCCTCTGTCTCTCACTCTCTCTGCTTCTAACAAAGTAAGATTTCTCACATAATAGAGGCATTCCTAAATGCCTTTTTTTTTTTCCTTCTATTTCATTCTCTACAATTTATAAGTTATATGAACTTAATAATATAGAAACCTAAATGTTTGCACCCAAAAAACAAAATGAATTGAATCAGTCATTATGTTTAGAAGACTAATTAAAGGGTATAAGAGGAGTATTTTCTATGTAAAATCTATTTTGGATAATAATAATAAAAAATCTATTTTGGATGTATGGCGTTCTCTTTATCATTTATATTCCAATTTTGAAACTTTAAGCTCGCTCTCCATATAATATTCACAACTATGACCATGAACACTACACTAAATCACTAATACTATACTATAAATCTATAATATTCATCAACACCATAGACTTTTAATGGGAGTCATGGGACACGTAGTTATCGGTTAATTTCATTGTTGGTGCTTTCTTCATTGGACGGATGATAACTTAAAGAATAAACTTGTATGCTTTTTTCAACATTTTAAAATAAATATCACTTAAAGTGTTTTTGTGGTCCATTGGCAATCATCAACTTGACGTGTAGTAAGTCTCTTATATATAACTAATTATAAGTTTTGGATTTAAATTACTAAAAAGGTAAAGAAATATAATCTTTACTATTAATAGAAAACAAAATGTATATATTTTTATACAATGAGGATATCATTTAAGTCTTAATCCTGAGTTAAATCCTCAATTCATATGTTTTTTTGTCATAACTTGAACATAACATATTCCTTCGACCAAAACAAGAAAGAACTTAAACATATTCTCTACAGATTTAAGTTTTTCATATCAATCATAAAATAACTTAGTTATGGCATCTTTTAATTATGTTTGTTGCGATCAATCACATAATTTTAGTGAATCAGATTTGTCGTGCTATTATCCTATCCTTATGCAAATTTGATATCCATTTTTTATTTTGTTATTTACGTAATAATTTTTTCGCTTGATAAGTTTTTCATTTTATTTCGCATTTATATAGTAGTTCATTGTTTTGTCTTCAATAAGTAAACAGTATAATAATTTAACGTATTCTTAATTTCAAATTCAAAGCAACGCGACCTACCCTCAGGTCTCAAAACGCACGTTCACCAATATAAAGTAGCACTTTCGTAAATAACATTAAGAAAAACAAATTAAAACAGTTTTGTAATAAGATCAATAATACATTATTCGATGACTCAGATTAGCCATTTAGGCTTTGGTCTTCTTTCTTTTTTTTTTGTTGCCAACAATTAAGCTCAGGGTTACGACTTACGAAAGTGATTGTCTGATTGACGTTTCCTTTCTTTCTTTTTTTGGTCCCTGAGATAACACCTTGGAGTTTGAGACTTTGAGGTATATCTATTATGTCTTCATTTGAATCTTTTTTTTTTTAGTGATTACCAATGTAATAAAAGTCTGGTTTGTTTTTTTTTTTTTTTAACTTTTCCCGTTATTCGATAACAGTTTATAAAGTTTTATCGTGTTTTTTTCACTTTTCTTTTCTTGCAACATGAAATAATTAATTACAAAATATCCATCACCACAAATACAAAGCATTGAAGTGTGACGGTGTTGTTTAAACACTTTGAAGTTTGGACCCAGACCATTATCACACAAGTGGACCTTATTTTTATATATTTATTTCGGATCCACTTGTTAGACAAAATAAAATTTACACTGATTACAAAATAACAATTTTTTTGTTTACCTTTTCACAGCATGAAAAAAAAACAATTATCTAATTAGTACATTTTGATCATTTGTTTTCATGCTTTCTCTACAAATTTGAGTTTTTTTTTTTTTTTTTTTTTAAATAGAGAATGTCATGCGTTTAAAACTATTTTAACTTTAAATTTTAAATTAGTACTAACTTTAAATTTTAAATTAGTAGCAACTTTAACAAATTGTTAGCAGTTCTAATTGCATAGATTCTATTTGAAGACTACAAACTTTTTTAAAAAGAGGTCATAGTCAAAACAAAAAACACCACATTTGGTATTAGCCAGATATTAGCCCAATTAACATTTTACTAAAATTTTTATTAGTTTGATCGTTCTCTTGTTTTAAAAAATAAAGTCCATGTAAGAAAATCGGTAGATTCGAAGCATCTCATGTAATTTTTTTTTTGGTTAAACGCATCTCATGTAATTAACTACTCATCTTAAGCAAATTTTCAACATGAAAATTGAACGTTTAACAATATAAAGAGTAGTTGGAACTCGAATTGGAAACTCAACAACTCAAATTCCAAGAATTGTTTGGATAAGTAAAAATCTGGCAAGAAACGTAGTCTATTTTTGTAACGTAGAAAATTAGAAAAATATATTTGTCAAAAGAAACAAAATTAGAAAAATAATAAAAGCAAAAAAACCGTGGTTAAGTTTGGTTAAGTTAATCTAAACCAGAGTGGTTAAAAGCAAAACGACAAAGCAATTTGGCTTCTTAAAAACCCGCCCATGGAGAAAGCCCTCACGCACCTCTAAACCACAAAGAGAGAAGAGAGAAGAGAGAATCATTGAAACGAAACAATGGCCGTCTCATCATTCCAGTGCCCTACGATCTTCTCCTCATCCTCCATCTCCGGCTTTCAATGCCGTTCTGATCCAGATCTCGTCGGTTCTCCCGTCGGTGGATCATCTCGCCGCCGTGTCAATGCCACCGCCGGGATTTCTTCCTCATTCACCGGAGACGGTGGATTATCCTCCAGGATCTTGAGATTTCCTCCTAATTTCGTCCGTCAGCTGAGTATTAAAGCCCGTAGAAACTGTAGCAACATCGGTGTTGCACAGATCGTGGCTGCTAAGTGGTCCAACAACCCTTCCTCCGGGTTACCTTCGGCGGCGGCGGCGGCTGCTGCCTCGTCTGCATCTGCGGTTTCTTCCGCCGCATCTGCAGCCGCAGCCTCGTCCGCCGCCGCCGCCCCTGTGGCTGCCGCTCCTCCCGTCGTCGTGCTGAAAAGCGTCGACGAGGAGGTTGTGGTGGCCGAGGAGGGGATTAGGGAGAAGATAGGTAGTGTACAGTTGACGGATTCCAAACATTCATTCTTGAGCTCCGATGGGAGCCTCACTGTTCATGCCGGTACCTCCTAGATCCATCCATTTTCAATCATTTCTCGTTGTTTCTGATTTTGTTGTTGGAGATTGATAAATTGGGTTTTAATAATGTAAATTTACATAGGTGAAAGATTAGGTCGTGGTATAGTGACGGATGCTATCACTACTCCTGTAGTCAACACATCTGCCTATTTCTTCAAGAAAACTGCTGAGCTTATTGACTTCAAGGTGCGTTGATTCAGTCTCTTTCTTTTTATGGATTAGAATTTAGAATAACACTTAGATTGAATGAATCTGTTATATTGTTGTAGGAGAAAAGGAGTGTGAGTTTCGAGTATGGTCGTTATGGTAACCCTACGACTGTGGTACTTGAAGAGAAGATAAGGTTATTATATTATCTTAATATAATTATACTTGCCTTTCCTGAAGATTACGTTGTTGATGCTGTTTGATTAATATATGGTGTAGTGCACTTGAAGGAGCTGAATCAACATTGGTTATGGCATCTGGGATGTGTGCAAGTACTGTTATGCTTTTGGCATTGGTTCCTGCCGGTGGACACATTGTGACAACTACTGATTGCTACAGGAAGACAAGGATCTTCATGGAGAATTTTCTTCCCAAGTTGGGGATCACTGTAAGAAGAACCCACTGACACCGAGATTTTTAATTACAGTCTTCCTTTTTCCAATTCCAGTTTTTTCAACTTGAATGATTAACGTCATGTTTGTCCAGGTCACTGTGATTGATCCTGCTGATATCGCAGGGCTTGAAGCTGCAGTGAATGAGTTCAAGGTCAGTTCTGTAACATATAGTCTATAATATTCCTTCTTACAGTTGGAAAGAGAGTATGTCTCTTAAATTCGTTGGATTTGTCTGGCAGGTTTCTCTGTTTTTCACGGAGTCCCCCACAAACCCATTCCTTAGATGTGTCGACATTGAGCTAGTTTCAGAAATATGCCACAAAAGGGGAACTCTTGTTTGCATTGATGGCACCTTTGCAACACCTCTGAATCAAAAAGCCCTTGCTCTTGGTGCTGACCTTGTTGTGCACTCTGCTACAAAGTACATTGGAGGACACAATGATGTGAGTAAAATATGTTCCATATATTGTAAAACATCTCAAAAGAGAACTCACTTGTTTTATAGCATTTAACAAAGATTGTTTCTCCTTGCCTTAGGTGCTTGCTGGATGCATCTGTGGTTCACTGAAGTTGGTTTCAGAAATTCGCAATCTGCATCATGTGTTGGGAGGCACACTTAACCCAGTAAATTACTTGCCTGTCTCATTTATCTCTCTTATTATGCCTTCATTTCATGAATTCTCATATAAGGTTTGTTAACAGAACGCTGCGTACCTAATCATCCGAGGCATGAAGACATTGCATCTTCGTGTACAGCAACAGAATTCGACCGCTTTTAGAATGGCCGAAATTTTAGAGGCACATCCTAAGGTATGCAATATCTCTTGTGTGTACTTTTTTGAGTAAACTTCCTGACAGGACACTGAAAATATCGATGCAATTTGATATGCAGGTGAGTCATGTGTACTATCCAGGCCTTCCAAGTCATCCCGAACATGAACTCGCCAAGCGACAAATGACTGGTTTTGGAGGTGTGGTCAGTTTCGAGGTAATGATCAATCACCAACCTAATCTCTATCTTCTCCAGATTTAGCATCTAAGTATGATCCTGAACACCTTGATTATCTTTCTTGGGTAGATTGATGGAGACATTGAAACGACAATCAAGTTTGTGGATTCTCTAAAGATTCCTTACATCGCACCATCTTTCGGTGGCTGCGAAAGCATTGTTGACCAACCTGCTATCATGTCCTACTGGTATGCATATGCTTCCGTCTTTGACAAAATCGAACAAAATTCCAATGTGGTTTTAAACTAAAAAATAATTTGGGTGGGTTTGATAATAGGGATCTGCCGCAAGAGGAGAGGCTAAAGTATGGAATCAAAGATAACTTGGTTCGTTTCAGCTTTGGAGTAGAAGACTTTGAAGATGTCAAAGCTGACATTCTTCAAGCTCTCGAAGCCATCTGAAAATGATATACATCACCCATAAACGCCGTCGTTTCTTTGTCTTTTATTTATCTTTCTTTGCTGTTTTCAGTCACCGTAAGAATGATGTCTTTGAACTATTTGTTCCGCGACATTTACGTTTCGAAATAATCTTGTACTATTATTATTATGTTTGTTGTGCTATAATAAATTCGATTTAGTCCGTTTTATGCCTTTAAACTTAAAAGTGGTTAAATTGGATAAGAGGCCCTATGTGAACGACCAGTGTGGCCATGGCTTTGTGGTAAGAACACCTTGTGTTTGGAACTCAAGGTCACGGCTTCGAACAAAGGTCATGTCTTCGCTTCTGCTTCTTCTTCTTCTTCACATTGTTTGAACAACATTAAAGGCATTCTTAAATGCCTCGCCTTTTTTTCTTTCCTTTCTATACTTAGTTCGATTTGCAGATCTCAGCAACATAATTTTTTTTTGTTTAGAAGAAAAAACTTAAACCTCATCGCTTCAAAGTTAAAACCATGAAAAAGAGGAGTTTACATATCATAGCAAGTCTGGTCCTTTGATGAATGTTATATCTGTTTGACGGCGTTATTTGTTAATATGTCTTCGTTCAATATTGTGAACTTCTTTCTGGGAAACAAATAGCAAAATTGAAAATCCAGAGATTGGTTATGTGCTCTTACTTTCTTTCTTAGACCTTAGTTAACTTCTTATATTTGAGCTTAGGAACTTCTTAATGGGCCTTTTTGTAAGCCCATTGATAAAGACAAGACCCTCTCAACGTAATTGTATTATTATCTACTTAATTTGCTTTTAAATTGACATAAGACAAGACTAATTGAACTTTTTAATCCCTAATTTTAATTAAACTAGTAAAATCCATGTGTTGTCCAGCGGGTAATCAACCAACCCAAAGTTCCGGATCCGGACCCAGTAAGCAAATTTACGATTCTTTTTTTGAATCCCAATGCAAAAATTATCAAATTTGGATATTTTAAATGCAATGGAAAAATCGAGAAAAATGGTATCGTGTCGCTTTAAGGACTTATTTATGTATGGCCAGAGAGCTCAAACGAAGATCACCGCCTCGACTGATTCGTCTTTTCTGCTGGTATTTTGATCGGAAAGCTTCAGCCTTCTAAAAAAATCGTCTCTTGATTTTTGTTTGATCCAGATTAGAAAACGTTTGTTAGCTTGTAGATTTCATAGATTGCTTCTGGGTTTATGGTATTACTATCAGTTTAGCCTAGTACTCTCCATGTTTCTTCATTCGATTTCTTTTTGTGTGTCAATTTACACATATCTGATATCTTCTTCGTGTTGCTCACAAAATTTGCAGAAGATTGCATTGATTCACATTCTTGGCAGACTTCTCTTGGTCTTATAGACTAATACTAGGCTGAAACCAGACCTGTTGTTGGTTTACGAGGGGACAGTTCGGAGTTATGCTTCTGTCAGCACTTTTAACTTCAGTGGGAATCAATCTTGGCCTCTGTTTTCTCTTCTTCACTTTGTATTCAATATTGAGAAAGCAGCCTAGCAATGTCACTGTATACGGTCCACGTCTTGTTAAAGACGGCAAATCTCAGCAGTCAAATGAGTTTAACCTCGAGAGGCTTTTGCCTACGGCTGGTTGGGTCAAAAGAGCGTTGGAACCTACCAATGATGAAATCCTCTCCAATCTTGGCTTAGATGCTTTGGTCTTCATTCGTGTCTTTGTCTTCAGGTGATTGATTCATTTAGAATCTGCTTAAAGTTTGAATATTATTTTTGGACGAATGATGTGGAACTTCAACGCATTTTATTGGCAGTATACGAGTGTTTAGCTTTGCTTCTGTGGTTGGGATCTTTATACTTCTTCCAGTGAATTATATGGGCACAGAGTTTGAAGAGTTTTTCGATCTGCCAAAGAAGTCTATGGATAACTTCAGTATTTCTAATGTTAACGATGGATCAAATAAGTAAGAATTCGAAGCTATGCCTAAACTGTGTCCTGATTTCTTATTATCCTTAACCAATTTCTTATGCTTGTCTGCGTTTTGCTTCAGGCTGTGGATCCACTTTTGCGCAATATACATCTTCACGGCAGTTGTTTGCTCTCTACTTTACTATGTGAGAAGCCTTTTGTTTTGTCCGTTCCTTCTACTTCATTGCGCCTATATGTGAACATTGTGAACATAAAATAATCTTTGCAGGAGCACAAGTACATTTTAACAAAGCGGATTGATCATCTTTATTCATCAAAGCCTCAGCCACAAGAATTTACAGTTCTGGTCAGTGGCGTCCCTCTTGTATCCGGGAACAGTATTAGTGAGACAGTAGAAAACTTTTTCAGGGAATATCATTCTTCCTCGTATCTTTCTCATATAGTTGTTCATCGGACAGACAAGTTAAAAGTTCTCATGGTAAGCTTCTACCTACTAAGGATTCTATAAGGCCTTACCTTTTGATATTTCTGGGTTTCATATATCTGTTAATATTTGTAGAATGATGCTGAGAAGCTGTACAAGAAGCTTACACGAGTAAAATCCGGAAGCATATCTCGCCAGAATTCTGGGCGGGTTGGGTTTTTGGGGATGTTTGGGAATAATGTTGACCATTACCAAAAGAAGCTTGAGAAGTTAGAAGATGACATGAGATTGAAACAGTCTTTATTAGCAGGAGAGGTGAGAATTAGTCTTTGTGTGACTAATTGCATTCTTCAACAAATTCATTCCATTTTTTTGGCAAACCCTTTTAGGAAGTTCCAGCGGCTTTTGTTTCCTTTAGGACAAGACATGGTGCTGCAATAGCAACAAACATTCAGCAAGGAATAGATCCAACACAATGGCTAACTGAGGCAGCCCCGGAGCCTAAAGATGTTCATTGGCCATTTTTCACTGCATCGTTTGTGAGAAGATGGATCTCCAATGTAGTGGTGCTCGTCGCTTTCGTAGCTCTTTTAATCCTATACATTGTTCCTGTTGTATTGGTTCAAGGTCTTGCTAATCTTCACCAGTTAGAGACTTGGTTCCCTTTTCTAAAAGGCATATTAAATATGTAAGTAAAGCCCTATTTAGACAAAGATGGTTCTTTGTTTCAATTGAACAACTACAAAATCTTTTTTTTCTTATGATTGCAGGAAAATCGTGAGTCAAGTGATTACGGGATATCTTCCGAGTCTAATTTTCCAGCTTTTCCTTCTTACAGTACCACCCATTATGCTTCTACTTTCCTCCATGCAAGGATTCATTTCTCATAGCCAGATCGAGAAATCGGCATGTATCAAGCTTCTAATCTTTACCGTATGGAACAGTTTCTTTGCAAATGTACTGTCCGGATCTGCTCTTTATCGTGTTAATGTGTTCCTTGAACCTAAGACTATTCCTCGTGTGCTTGCTGCAGCTGTGCCAGCACAGGTAAAGAACACGAAATATAGTATTGAGGTTTCCGGAATTTCTTTTTCTGACCATGAGTCATGTTTAATCATTGGTGCAGGCATCGTTCTTTGTATCTTATGTTGTGACCTCTGGATGGACTGGTTTATCATCAGAGATCCTCCGTTTGGTTCCTCTTCTTTGGAGTTTTATAACAAAACTTTTCGGCAAGGAAGATGACAAAGAATTTGAGGTTCCTTCAACTCCTTTCTGTCAAGAAATCCCAAAGATTCTATTTTTTGGACTTCTCGGTATAACGTACTTCTTCCTTTCGCCATTGATACTACCGTTCTTGTTGGTCTACTATTGTCTTGGATATGTCATCTACCGCAACCAGGTAACCTAACCAATCTTAATCTTCAGCTTTTCTATGTAGAGAGTTTATAATAATTTAATATCTAAAATGATTTCAATTGGATTCTCGTGGAGTCGATTATAACTCTGATAAAGCCATATAGGAATCTGCTCTGTAATCTATGAATCAGCTACACATATTTTTGTTATATGGAATCTCACTTTTATCTTTTCTTTATGTGTATTCCCTTTTCTATATTCTAGAATAGCATCTTTAAACCGAAAGTATTATTTTGGAGCTTAAGTCATGACATAAACGTTAAATCAAGAATCCATTTTCTCGTCACTTGATTTGTTTTCTTCTTAATGAATCCATTGTAACTTGGTGATAGTAATAACTTCACCTTTTTGGTCCTTTTGTGCTGCAGCTCCTAAACGTATATGCGGCCAAGTATGAAACTGGTGGAAAGTTTTGGCCAATAGTACACAGCTACACTATCTTCTCTTTGGTACTAATGCACATTATTGCAGTCGGATTATTTGGGCTTAAAGAGCTTCCAGTGGCATCTTCTTTAACAATTCCCCTTCCGATTCTGACCATCCTTTTCAGCATTTACTGCCAAAGACGGTTTTTACCAAATTTCAAATCTTATCCTACCCAGGTAAAGGCTATAGAGAATCAGTTACTCGTATTGTAACCATCTTGATCCAACGGTAGGAATGTAGCTAGATACTCTTTTATCAGAACTATTCCTAACCAAAACAAAACAAACAGAATATGATGTATAGTCCTTAGGATTTAGCCTGGATGAAGAACCTTTTGCAGTCTCAAATATGATTCTTAATATATAGTCTATGCTTCTGTTATATTACAGCTTCTTCTCATAACCTTTATATGGTGATGATTGATGTTTTTCCTTTCGCAGTGTCTAGTAAACAAAGACAAAGCAGACGAGAGAGAGCAAAACATGTCTGAATTCTATTCGGAACTCGTTGTTGCTTACCGAGATCCTGCACTTCCGGCATCACAGAACTCACGAGACATCTCACCTTAAGATCCTCCACTTCTCCAGTCACGTCAAGCCTGAGAAGAAGAAAACCTTTTTATTTGAGCTTTTGAAGTTTGCTTATGTTGATTGAAGCTGTTAGCTTTACTATACCTGGTTCAATACATGAAAGAACACACTAAACCGGTTGTCTTGTACATTGGTTCTTAACCGAGAATCAACCGGTTTTTGTATTATAGCATATACTCTTTAGCTTGTGTAAAAAAAAAAAGGAAAGAGTTCATGTCAGTGTTTCTCTAAACCGGTTTAAGACGGTACAAACCTTTTGAAAGTTGCCAAAACAAAACGTAAACATCTCTCAGTACTTTTGTGTTTTTAATTTAAAGTAAATTATTTAGTAACGGTGGTTAATAATTACCACAAGTGTCTTTTAGGCTTTTAGCTAAACAGAGAATATTTAGCAAAAAGATGAAAGATGATGACTCGATGCCACGTCCGCATAGGGGTAATTATTGTAATAAAGCGTAACTCTGGGGGTAATTTAGTTAGAGAGTAACCCGTTTATGGAAACAAAAATCAAATAATTTATTTTGTTACTTGCGCCTTATAGGCCACAACAAGCAACGAGAGAGAGAGAGAGAGAGAGAAGAAGAATCTCTGAATAATTTCTGGGTTTAAGCTGATCTCTGGATCTTCTTCAATTTCGAATCTCAATTTTACTCTTCTGAAATTATTTAGCTCAGAAATTTTAGGGCTTTTTTTTTGTGTCTTCTTGCTGCATTTTTTGGCCTCCGCCTTTAAAATTATTGGTAAGTTTCGATATCTCTCAATCTTCTAATTTCGGAAACAAAAAATTCTGGCTTTTTGATGTTAACTTGGCAAATCGGGTGTGCTTGAAACCACCATTTCTGAATCGGGTACGAGAGATCCATTATTAGTAATCCTCTGCGATTGAATATGATTAGGGTTCTTATTCCGAATTGGGGATAGTTTGAAAATTGCTATTTTAAGCTCTCTTCTTAGTGTTTCTTAATTCTGGTTTTGGATTGGATACAAAAGGGTTTACTCGATTACCTACTAAATTTTTGGTTTTTATTCACTATCAAGTTCTTATTCTCGCTAGATGAGTGAAATTTAATGTCCAATTCTCTTTCTGCAACCGATCCATCACAGTTTGTGTCTTGTGTAGTAGATCTAATACAACTCTTTTTTGGCTTTGGCTCTTTTTTTGGTTTTATACTTTGTGTAGAAGATGGATGGATCAGGCGGTAGAAGTGGGGTGGAATCGATACTACCAAATTACAAGCTTGGGAGAACTCTTGGTATTGGTTCCTTTGGTAGGGTGAAGATAGCTGAGCACGCATTGACAGGACATAAAGTTGCAATCAAGATCCTCAATCGTCGCAAAATCAAGAACATGGAGATGGAGGAGAAAGGTACATTTTTGTGTATCCACCTTACTTAACTTGATTGAAACTTGGTCTGGTTGTGACTTTACTATACTGTTGGAATATATAGCTTCTTTTTCATCTTCCTTTAATTGAACTCATTTGGTGTTCGTTTCTTTTTTGTCTTTGATGCAGTGAGGAGAGAGATCAAAATCTTGAGACTATTTATGCATCCTCACATCATCCGTCTCTATGAGGTTATAGAGACTCCGACAGATATTTATCTTGTCATGGAGTATGTGAACTCTGGTGAGCTGTTTGACTATATTGTAGAGAAGGGAAGATTGCAGGAGGATGAGGCGAGGAACTTCTTTCAGCAGGTATGTTTTTTTTTTTTAATCAACAGGTAACTTTCCAAGCAACCATTTGATTTGAATTATATTTGAGAGCTAAAAAGTAGCTACTTGGTTTTGATGTAGATAATATCGGGAGTGGAATACTGCCATCGAAATATGGTGGTTCACAGAGACCTCAAGCCTGAAAACTTGCTTTTGGACTCTAAATGCAATGTAAAGATTGCTGATTTTGGCCTGAGCAATATAATGCGAGATGGTCATTTTTTGAAGACAAGTTGTGGAAGTCCAAATTATGCGGCTCCAGAGGTAAGTGCTTCAGCCTTCAGGTATCTGAGGAGCACTATAAGTAGGCTTGTTTCAAATGATAAGTTATAATCGAGATCTGTAAATTGTTTCAGGTAATTTCGGGCAAATTATATGCTGGGCCTGAAGTAGATGTCTGGAGCTGTGGTGTGATACTCTACGCTCTTCTCTGTGGGACGCTTCCATTTGATGATGAAAACATTCCCAACCTTTTCAAGAAGATAAAGGTACAGCAAAATACTTCCTGTTAATCGACCTTTTTGTTCTCTTTCGTCTATTTGAACTAATGCTTGAATTTGGTTTTTTTATTTCTTATCACCCCTTGAGTGTAATTTGTTTTCTCTTTTCGTCCTTTAGGGAGGGATATATACATTACCTAGCCATTTATCTGCTGGTGCTAGAGATTTGATCCCCCGGATGCTTGTAGTTGACCCCATGAAACGAGTAACCATCCCTGAGATCCGGCAACACCCTTGGTTCCAAGCTCACCTTCCGAGGTATTTAGCTGTTCCTCCTCCAGATACAGTGCAACAGGCGAAAAAGGTAAATCTAACCTATCTACTCTTATTTTCATTAGAGATTGTTTTCTATTCCCATTTTCGATAAAGGCGTAAAACCGCTGGCTTCATTTGTAGATTGACGAGGAGATTCTCCAAGAAGTTATCAATATGGGATTTGACAGAAACCACCTCATTGAATCTCTCCGCAACCGGACCCAGAATGATGTATGTGTTTCCCAGCCTCTGTTTCTTTTATTTCAAAGGTTAAAAATTCCCATCAGAAGGTCTTAAATACTGATTTGTTACCGACTGTCTTCCAGGGCACTGTGACATACTATCTGATACTGGACAATCGTTTCCGTGCCTCTAGTGGTTATCTCGGGGCCGAGTTTCAAGAGACCATGGTGGGTGTTTATTGCCCCTTTCGACTGTAGCAAAAAGATCTTTGAAGTAATACTTGATGTTTAATTTTAATTAGGAAGGTACTCCCCGTATGCATCCAGCAGAAAGTGTCGCTTCACCTGTTAGCCATCGGCTTCCTGGATTGATGGAATATCAAGGAGTTGGCTTGAGATCTCAATACCCTGTTGAGAGAAAATGGGCTCTTGGACTTCAGGTTTTGATATTTTCTGTATTTATGCTATAAAGACTTAAGCTTTTGATATATATCTGGCTAGTTTGATCGATAATATAACCACGTGATCCAACAGTCTCGGGCTCATCCCCGTGAAATAATGACGGAAGTCCTGAAAGCCCTGCAAGATTTGAATGTGTGTTGGAAGAAGATAGGGCACTACAACATGAAGTGCAGATGGGTTCCTAACAGCACAGATGGTATGCTCAGTAACTCGATGCACGATAGCAACTACTTTGGAGACGAGTCCAGCATAATAGAGAACGATGCAGCTGTTAAGTCGCCGAATGTTGTCAAGTTTGAAATTCAGGTAAATCCTCTTCTCCTCTTCATGATAGCACACATATCGGTTTCCCGCGTACCACATTGTTTCTGATGTGATGTCGAGTGAAATAAAGCTTTGTGTTTTAGTGTCCATGGCCATTTGAAACTGACATAGAACTAGAGTCAATCTCTTGAATCTAACTATCAATCAATACTTTCTGGGCTTGATGATGTTTGTTGTTGTTGATGGTGAAACAGTTGTATAAAACTCGGGACGACAAGTATCTACTGGATTTGCAGAGAGTACAAGGTCCTCAGTTCTTGTTCTTGGATCTCTGTGCTGCTTTTCTTGCTCAGCTCCGAGTCCTCTGAATACTAAACCGGACCTCAAGAATAATCCCCATTTCTACTTTCTCTTTTCTTCTTCGTCTAAGAAATATTCAGTAAAAGTTAGTTTTTTTTTTCTATTCTTGTGCTCTACTTAAATAACCTCTTTTTAACTTAAATGTAAGACGGGACAACTCGAGTAAAAAAAAAAAAAAAGACATGAACAACTTTGTACATACATAGCTTGTGGTTCATTATGTCACCAATATTGATTTTTGACAATAAAGGAAAGATATGTAAATTAGTCCTTGAAAAACAATCAGTTTATATATTAAATAATGAAAAGGCTATATATTAAAAATGTGTGAGAGTTTTAGAATACTAATATTAGCTAAGTATCAAATTCATTGTGATTTTTGAATTTTATTTTTTAATTAAAATGAAAGCAAAATATATTTAGTTTGTTGTTATTGGAAATATCACTTATTAATTCATCTAGTTAGTTTTTACCACGATAGAACTCACAATTTTCTTTTCGCAGTTTCTATCGCGGCCTCTCATGGCTATTGGCCAATTTGTGTAAGCGGATGCAATAGTCAACTCTTATGTAGGCTTAGCCGCTTAGGGCTTATCTTTTGGGTTAGTTAAAATTTCCCTATTTAAATAATTTATTTGTGTATACTTTCAACAAATTAATCTTCTCATAAGGAAAGTTTGAAGAACACATTTGTTACATATCCAAAAAACTATACAAATTCAAAAACAAGCCCAAAAGAATTTCAAAAGTTTCCAACGTGTGGTTTACCTACCAGTTAATCTTCTCCTGCAAAAAAAAAGCACATCAAAGTGTGTGATAAACTCCCACAAAAAAATACAAGAAAATTTGTAAAAAAAAAATATATACAAAATTATCTTTTCGTAAACCTGAAATTGAATAATTTCATACTGACTTGGGCTTTTTTTTTAAATGAAAAATTAAACAAATATGGACTACAAATCATGATGGTAGGTAAAAAATGTATATATCCTTGGCTGAAAATTCTGGTAATTTAATTTGTTTTTCCCCAAATTTTAACCTCTCTCTATTCGTGGTGGTCTTCGAACACCAACTCTAACATCACTTTCAGTCCTCCGTAATATTTCATTCATCCCATTTGTTTGAAAAATCTTCGGATTCGCCCCAAGATTCGTCAAATCCTGCAAGATTTTATCAAAAATTAAAATTGAATACCAACTACCGGTTTAGACGGTACCGGGTTCAATTTGACTTACCGTATCGTCTTCTGTTTTCTTGTGATTCACGCCAGAGAACAACAACACATCAGAAGAGTCCAGAGAAACGTGCGGCCTAAGAAACGGTTTGTCTTCGTTTATCGTTAACCCGAAAGTGTTCTTGGCAAAAGCCATGCTCATCCCACTCACGTGGCTCGCAGATCCTGCGGGCTGGTTATAAGTCAGCGTTGAAGCTACGTCGTTTTCTTTCCTCTTCTTTGTCCCTGCCCATGCGAACCCGCTCGCTGGTGCCGTGGTTTGAGACAAACTGTTGTACGGAAACTCGCTTCGTGTGGTCGCCTGAGACGTCTCTGACGGCGTCTGGACAGCAATTTCTGTTTCGGCTTCCTTCTTTGTTTCCTGCAGAAATAATGAACAAAATTACAAATATCGAACCGGGAAATAGACTCAGCGGTTTATTCCGGTACATGAAACACCAAAATACCTGGTGCGTTGGTAATCTGCTGAGATTTGTAGGCTCTTTGACTGTTCTACGAGATTTACCCAATTTCTTTGTTGCCAAGTTATCTCTTTTCTTGATACTAACTCTTCTCCTGCATAACAAAGTTTCAATCTCTCAACACATGCAACCAGGTATATTTATACAGAGCTGGCGAAAACCAATTGATTGATACCTTCTTTGAAGTTCTTCGCGGTATTTAGCATCCATTTCTTTATTAGGAGGATACTTAGGTAGTGTAGATGGATCGCAAGCGTAAGGCTGTGTGTTAAAGTACTGAAGAACAACAACAAACCACAAAGAAGACAAAAAGAGTTTCAGCTTATTTGATTAGAATACAGGCTAGGGTTTCGTTTAGTAAGTTTTTTCACCTCTGACATAAGAGCAGAAGAAGCAGTTCCTCGTTTCTCAGGATCAATAGACAATAGACTCTCCAAAAGATTAATTGCGGTTTTCGGAAACTCATCAAATCTTTCTCGCAGACAACCTTCATATTGATGTTGTGGTCTAAACATCTTTGTTTGAGGATGAAGTTTGTTCTTTTCCCAGAATTCTTCATCCGGTGATCCAGAGAGTTTATAAATCTTGTGGAGTTGTTCAATCTACAGAGAATTAACACATACACACAAAATAATCAGAAAAGAGAACAATTTCTCTGGAATGAATAATATCAATCTATAGGTCTGGTCCCTTCCTCACCTCTGTTCTTCCTTTAAGAAGTGGTCTTCCGGTAAGAATCTCGGCAAAAACACATCCAACGCTCCAAAGATCGACCGATACGCTATAACTTGTTGAACCCATTAGAAGTTCTGGTGCACGGTACCATAATGTCACGACCCGACTCGTCAACTGATTTTTATTTCTTGGTGTTACAATGTTGGCTAATCCAAAATCAGCTAGTTTTAAAACTCCTTTGTTATTCACCAGAATGTTTGCGGCTTTAATGTCTCTGTGCATAATCCCTCGTAGATGACAATGTTCTACTCCCCACAGCAGTTGCTTCATGTAGCATTTGATCTGAAAACGAAATTAGGGTTGTCAGAATAAAGAAACAGAGTCGCTTGCAGGAGAGGTTAGGGTTTTGTGTGTGCGTGTCTCTCTCTTGCCTGTGCCTCGGTGAATTTGATGTCGGGAGATGAACATAAGCCTTCGAGATCGTGTTCCATATAATCAAACACAAAGTACATGCTGTTTGAATTCCTTGATGCGATGATCCCTTCGAGTTTCATAATGTTGGGATGATCTAATCTTCTCAAAATCATGATTTCTCTCGCTATGAATCTTATATTTTCAGTTTCAAAATTTTGGACCCGTATTTTCTTTAAAGCCATAACTCGTCCCGTCGATACCTCACAAGCCCGGAACACGTTGCTATACGTCCCTTGCCCGATCTAAGATTTTCAAAGAAATGTCAAAATTAATTGTTGAGATCATATATAGGGTTGTTTCTTGTCTCGCAAGAAAATGTAATGACCTGTGGTTAGGATTATTTTACCTTCTCTCTTTTCTCGAAGTCTTCGGCGCGTAGTGGAACCCACCCATGAACGGCCTCGGGTGCGGCGGAGCTGAGCCAGGAGGGCCAACCAGCCGCCACCTGCTCTGCCTCTACATTGCTGTGCGGCAAGCCCGATCTCAGGCTAACACCGGTCGTCCTCGATCTTGGAGCATCATCGTCATTGTTGCGATGTTTTTTCGGAGATGAGTTGACGACACGGCGGTGAGATGGTGGACCGGGAAGAACATGGCGGTTATGATGATCTTGGGGATGACTTCGGTGAACGGTGGTGTCCAAGCGACGGCGGAGAGGGCGTGGAGGACCCACCGGAGAAGAATGCTTGGAGTTGAAGCAACCCATAATAAATTAATTGTCAGAGGAGAGTTTCCGGGCGGCGTGAGTATCGACCCGGGTCGGGTAAACGGGTCCAACGCAGGGAGGGCAATCCCCGCATTAGACCATAGAGAAACGAAAATAAAGGAGAAAAAAAACAAAAAATTGAAGAAAAATAGTTTTTGTTGTAAAATAGAGAAGAGAACCGAATCGAGAGAGAGATAATCACGGACAATTCGACAATCCTCCTTAAACGTTGGAAGAGAAAAGAGACAAGAAAGCAAATCTTTTTTATCTTTAATCTTTTTCTTTTGTAATTTAAAATAGATTTATATCCTATACACTGACAAAAAAAATGAAGATATTTTTTTTACTAAATTTGAAGGGAAAAAAACTGCAATGAAAAAATAATCTATATGTTACAATGATTAGATACAAAATAATAAATTCATAATTCAAGAAGAAAAAAAAAAACAAATTTCTTTCCTTTAGTCAAAAGCATGCACTCAATTCACATCACACATGTTATACAAGTCATCAATCAGTAGTAGCCCGGTTCAGAATCAATCACCAAGCGGCTAAACCAATCCTAAATAATCAATCTCGAAATCTTCGGTTTTAAAGTCAAATTGTGATTTTCTCTTCTTTCAACCTTAAAAGAACCGGAGATTGGCCAGTGTTATTATTGTTACCAAAACTCATATGTTGTTGCATATTGTTCCCCGACATTGATCTCATACGATGGTGGTCAGACGTCCCAGCCGCAGCTGCGGTTGCTGCGGCGGTACCGTTTCTAGCGGCAGGGACATCGTGGTTGTGTTTACCTTCGTAAGTTGTAATCACAGCCTTAGCATCCGTTGAAGCTCTCTCTACATGTTTACGGACTGTACAATTTGGCGTTGTACATTTATAATAGCTCCTAATATTACCAAAATAAAACGATTATTAAAACAAAATGAATGTGAAATAATGTATAAAATAATCAAATTATTTCTCTATATATAGCTAGATTCAATAAGCGCAACCCTAAGTATTAGTACCTCGGATGGGGATTTCCTTTGACAACTTTTTGTCCGTACTTGCGCCATCTATAGCCATCGTCGAGAAGATCGACTTCACTTTTTGTCTGAACGATAATCTTAGGCTCGGTCACCGTCCGGTGAGTCGTCGACACACCGTCTATTTTTCTATAATCCCAATATTAAATATTTAATTGGAAATGCCATGAACATTATACTATGTATAATATATAATCACATGCACAATTCTACTATACCTTATCTTTGAAGCCGGAAGATCATCGTCATCATCATCATCATTGTTATCATCTTCATGATCCTTACCATAACCACTATCATCACTAGATTCCATCATTTGCCCTGCACCACCAACGAAATGAATATCACCAACCTCAGTGGAATCTCTGCCTCCACCGCCACGGCGATTCTGAGGCCTCTCGTGATCATGTTGACCCTTGTAAATAATCTGAGTGATCTGTCCATCCGATGACCGTTCAACTTTCTTCTTAACCGGACAGTTAACATGTGTGCATTTGTAATAACTCCTTGGATATTCACACCCTTTGATCGGCTTCTGTCCGTACTTCCTCCAGTTATAACCGTCATCCGCCGGTTTATCAACATTCACCACGTTATACGACCGGTTATTATTGTTATTATTCCCCGGATTATTGTAGTGGTTTCTAGCTCTTTGATCGGTTTGCGTCGACACTTCGAATGATTGACGGCCATGGACGGCGGTGGATGTCGATGGCGGCATATGATGAGGAAATGTGTCTGGTCGTGGTGGTTGCAGTTGCGGCTGCGGCTGCGGGTGGACAAAGCCGGTCTGAGCTGGCGCCTGCAGCATTTAATATCATACGAATCGATTTAGTTTATACTATACGAAAAAGGAAATTTATATAAAAAACAATGCCCAAAACAAGGTTGTAGTGTGGCTGAAAAAAAAATCACAAAAAAAACAAGGTTATAGTGTATTGATTTATACTATTGATGCCGCAGTTTTTCGAGTTTTAGACGATTGAGTGTATGAGTTTTGAAATAGACCATGATATTTTGTTAAGAACTAAATAAATGTGAAGTATGAATATATTTAGTAATTGGATTAATTCACTACATAATTACTTTTATGTATATACACATACAACTCTAGATTGGTGATTTTTTTTTCCCCTTTTCTGTGTTGTTCTACTGCTAACGACTGTGACTATCAATAAACTCTATAAAAAATTTCTTTAGCAAAATTCAATTGGGTTGAGTTTTTTTTTTTTTCTTTTTTGGAACAATAATAGGGTTTAGTAAAGCCTTTATTAATTAATCAAGGATCATAAAGAATTAATAACCTGAGGAGGAAAGAACATGGGAGAGGTGAGAAGACTAGAAGGGCTGAAACCAGAAGGGATTGTAAACATCGGACCTCCTCCGGCGAACATCCCCGCCGTTGAACGTCCTCCACCACCAGGAGAAACCGACATAGCTCCGGCAAGAAGCTGAGAAAACGACGTTGTCCGTTGGTTATCCGGCGTCAAGACGTCAGGGAAGTTGTCAACGAACAAAGACGAGACAAAAGAAAGTGGTCCTGGGCTCAGACTAAGCCCATCTCCACCGCCAAAGAAATACGCCGCCGTTTCGATCGCCGGAGGTCTTTGGGGAACTGTAATCGTGGGTCTTGTTGGCGCCACTAACGTCGTCGTTCTTATAGAAGATACATCGTCTTCAACCGCCATTTTCTGATATTAATCTCAATCTTTGTAGATCTCTCTAGATATGGATATTACTGTGTGTATATATACAGAGAGAAACAAAGAGACAAGAGTCTTATGTTTCAATGTCTGATTTTCTTAGATCGATTTCGTGCAGCCTTGACATTGGTTTTCAAAAGTCTACGGGCTAAACATGGAATTTCTTTAATAATAATATTATTACTAATTTATTGTGGTCCAATCTCTCTGTTCTAAATTTCGCATTTAAGCTATTTTTTTATTAGTCTCATGAAAAATAATTCAACTTGCATCTTTTATTATTAAATTATTTGTTTAACAGGTTGATGGAATAACCAAATTTATGGTGTTTAACTTGTAAAAGTCATCTTAAGCTATTTGTACATTAACATATAGTAAATTTTGTGGACCAACATTATTAGGATGTTTACTAGACTTTTTCTTGTTGTAAAGTTGAGGTTAATTATTTGAGTGAACCGTAATCAATACTTTATTTATATTATCAAATACAGAAAATTATTCACTTTGGTAGATATCTTTAGTATTTCTTTTAAAATTCGAGTTGATGTCACGAGTCTTATAATCCATGTTAATCTCTCTCACATCTAAAACTTCAATAATCATCAGAAGATACGAATCTAGGTTTTGATTAGTAGTGAAATAGTGGGTTATTGAAAGGATTATGTGATAATTAAGAATATCAATAACTTAAATGGATCACATATATTGAAAACTAAAAATCATGTCTGTCAATGTTGATCATATATATAGAAGCTTGTTTTCTTCCAAAGTTTGCCTAGCAAGACCGGCACTACGAAGTACTCACTCCAAATGGCGACAAAATACACTTTTTAGATTAAATGAATGTAAGTGAAGTATAAGTTCTTATAGTCAATGGTTGACCTAGTGGGTATATGTTAGGTTAGGAATTTATTTTCAAAGAATACAAACTATTGTAGAATACTAAAAATAAATCTAAAATTTTAGGCAGTATGGTAGAGCACTAGAGCCGTTTGTTTATCGTGGTTCTATGTAGTAAAAATAATGTTGTACGTCGTCTTGTCGATCGTGTAAGTGATGCATATATAACTGTTTATCATATGATACTCTTACAAGTAAATGTTTGATCTTGGTTTGTTCACTATTTTTACAGGTTGAAATTAAATGTGAGATATGGAATAGCCAATAAGCATTCACCCTTATTCCTTTATGAACCAAATACAAAAGGACCAACTTGCATTTGTTATTATATATTTATTTTATGTAGAACAAAATCTTCAATTAACTAAAATGGCCGACAGAAAACTAGTATGCTTGGTCTCTCTAGTTATTGCTTCACTAAAGTTTCGAAAATCTACTAATGGTCTCTAGTTATGCGTTGATTCATTTTTTTGTTCTTCTTTTTTTTTGGGGACAAAATGCGTTGATTCATCTATGATTTTTGATTTGTCATTCAAATGATGCCCATTTGAGAAGAAGATGAATAAATTTAATATTAAATAAAAACTACTTTAATTATATTTTTTTATATAAATAGAAGATTTATATGTGAGATATGTGTAAATATATCTCCATACAGATTGGGGTTTGAATGGATACAAAAAAAAATCCAAAAAGGATCCAGTTGATTCCAAAATATCATAATTTTGATTATTGGCTAATTATTAACACATAAATTCGATATTGCGCACGACTTTGGTCAATTAATTGATACTATATGTTACACCATTCGAATCATTATGATTATTTTTCCTGTGACTAAACTGGAATTTTGAAGCTGAAAATTGTTAAAAGAAATATACTATATACAGATCTAATCTCTTTGATATTAAATGACATAATGAATAATAACGTAATTCTGGGAATATTCGAGCAACGATTTGCGTTTCATTAAATTATGTTTTCGGGTTTGCTGAAACAAAACATAACTAGTATCTGCGTTGCATGTTCTTCAAAATGTTGAGAGAATTAAAGGAATCAACTTAAACTAACTAACTGACATTTGTTTTTGCAATTAGTATTTCTATTTGATTGTTTTTGACACCTAAGGGACAGCCTATTGATACCTTATTAATAACGGAAATTATCAGTTCCATTTTCTTAATCATATTCCCAAATATTTATAATTTGATCGATAATCAGAATTTTAATTTTAATTTCACCCAATATGAAGTTATTATGGACGCAGCAGAAAAGGAAGCAATCAAGTATATTGAAACTTTTTTTCTGAAACTAACAAAGGTTTGACATTTCTTGATATACCGTATATATTACGGTATCCAAATGACTAAGACGTTTAGTTAAACTCAAGACGAGAAGGGTCAAGAAGAATTGTAACCTGGTTTTAGATAATTTTAACATAAAGAAATTGAAATCTATGTTGGCAAGAAAATAGTCAAATTTAGAAATATATCCTAAAACTGGGGTTAGATCATTTTAATATCTTAAACATTTTGGTGTATGAAGAAACATGGGGAACAAAAATCTTATGACTAAAAAAAACCTTCAAGAGCTGTTTATTTTGTCGGGACGTGTGGTTGACTTTTGGATAAGGGTCAAGCTATTATCTAATTAATTTAGGCCCTTTACATAGTCGAAAATCTGAAAAGTACCACACGAACAATCATTTAAAATTGAAAGTGAATTCTTTTATGGGTTTGACTATAAAATTAAACATCTTCAAATGATCAAATCTCGTGGTCAGATTAGTTTACAATCACGTCATTTTCGATGTGATGAACAAATGATACAATTTAAACTGCCAGCTTTAGTCAATAAACTAAAATAGTCTAGCTAGCTGGTTATATTTTAATTGTTTTCTGGCTATCTAAGAGAATTTTAATTTAATCCATTAAAAAAAAATCTAGGGTTTTGATAGGTTTAGGTGTCTAATCATGGTGCCCACAGCTGTTTGAGACATGACTATATTAAACCCTAATCAGGGTTAAGTGTATTATATTAGTGTTGCATAGTAGACTACTAGTATTAGACTATTAGTGTATATTACTAACAGTTTGGAAGAAAGTATTAAGAGCCGCAAAACTGCAAATACCGAATATGGAGTTTATACTTTATAGTTTATAGGCTAAAAATCCAGAATTGTCTGGATTTAGCGAAAATAAGGACAAAATATCCTAAAAAATTTCGTTGTAAGAAATAATTTTTGAAACAAAAATTTGATTAAACATGAATATAACTACTAAACTAAACAATAGATTTTCTTCAAAATAGGTGCACAAAAAAAAGGATATTCTTCAAAATCAACGTAAGAGACTTGAATCATGATTTCAATAAAATGGTTATTTTTTCTTATGGATTTGCAATATATATTGTCGAAATTGGTATTTGATCTAGACCAGAATCTCTTATCATCAACAAAATTAGTTACTCGCAAATTATTCAACACATAATCCTTTTTTTTTTTGGTCAACTTAAACACATACATAAAGACGAAGGAAAAAGATCAAATAAGTAAAGAAGTAAGAATAGTAGTTTTTTGGTGTTTCATATAGAAAGACCTTTGGTCGATGTCAAAATTCAAGATAAATATTGGACTTGGTTTATCCACAACTGATTATTTTTACCCATTACACATTTACACCATAAAACGAATGTGTACATAGATCGCAGAGATAGTGTGGCCATCCTTACGCAAATAAAACTCGAATTAAAAATAAATAAATAAAAATAGCCAAGAAAATTAAATAAAACAAGTTGAGCATATATAGAGGCGACTTGAAGATGGAGAAAAGGGTGGTCGTTGAGAGGACACTAAAAGGATAAACGTGTTCCCAAACATCCTTTTGTCTTTGATGTCATGTGGCAATGCGACCAACTTGCAACTTATTTTATCACCTACATGACAAAAACTTCAATTATTGGAATTAATATTTTAGTTACTTTCTCATTTCTCTTACATTCATACATTATCTAAAGACCATTCTTTGATAAGTATCGGTGTATATATACCATTTTTCATAAAAATTTAACCAAGGTACGTTAATTTGGATTCGAATCTAGCGGAAATAATACTACCATTTTCCAACTGATTAGAAGTTTAGAAAACAAATAAACAATCAGTTTATTATAAGTTCATCAGCTGTTTGCGTTTGTCGATAACGAAATCTAGATATCTTTTTGAGTTTTTTGAATTTAGTTTGTGTAGAAGTGAGTCTAATTTTTTTTTTTTTTTTTTTTTACAGCAAAGTAAGCTAATTTTATATGTACGTGTGGAATCTCAACAACTGATAAATCAAGTGTTATAGAGAAAGTATTTATATGAACGTGGAAATTTGATCAACTGATAAAACAAGTAAAATGTTCTAACATTTTTGTTTTCACACGTTTATTTCATAAAAATTTCTAACCGTACCAAAAATGTGTGGTTCAAGCAACTAGTGTTAAATGATCTTTTCGGATAAATTTTGTAGTTCCTATCAAAAAAAAAAAAATTGTAGTTATTTAAGTGAAACATCAGATACTGTACATATATTGTCGGTACCATTGGCCAAATTCATCTGTATTTGCATTTATTGATTCTTGAAATAAATATACATATTTTGTCAACAATCAAACATACATATATCATCTACATGAACGTGTTGCATAATAGTGACAACTAACTACCAATTATGGGTCCACATTGAAAAAGGATCTCTAACATACAAATCGAAGCCCAATACGTAGGCCCAATAAAGTTTTAAAAGATTGTTCATACAAATTAAATTACAATTTTTTATTCAACAATTGATTTTTCCCTCCAACAAAAGCAAAAGCATGAACAATCTCCAAAGACACACAAACACCCCAGAGTAGAATGACTAAAAAGGATCCAAGAACACAACATAAAAGAGTACTACTAAAACTAAAAAAGAGCTTCACTTTGCGAAGATATAAATCGACTCGGATTTCACCGATAACAATCGTTTCTCTTTAAAAGAAATCAAAGACTTGTTACCACAACCTCAGTACCGCGTCCCACATTGTCCCAACTGCTGCGAAAACAGCTACCGGAATAACAAACTGATAGGCAAAACCCGAGAGGGTAAAGGTTCTTGTTGCACTGTTCTTGATAGGTGCTGCAGCTGGTGGAGGAGGCGGTTTCTCAACTAAAACAGCGAGCTTCATACCGCCGTAACATCCACCACCATTACCACTAATCAGATAGTAATGCCTTGTCACATTAAGATGAACTAAGTCCCTTCCAGCTCCACGACTCCAATTAGCAATCGGGTTATTAGGATTGCAGCTTATGTAGTTCGTTTCGTTCACTTCTATAACGTTGTATTGGTTTCTCTCGTACACAAAATCTGACGAGACACAATGAGAAATAAACACTATATAAGTCAACAAGATTCATGATTCGAGTATCTTACTGAAAATACAATCTTCAAACTATTTAACAATTTTCAATGCTGTGAAAGAAACAATTTTAATAAGAAAACAGAGTGTTGCACCAAAAAAACTAAAGAAAACAGAGCTAGTGAAGAATCAATCTAGTGGTCCTTTTTAAGACAGTCTCTGATTGTGCCCGACATAATCTGGACAACACAAAGTTCTAAAAGTTCGAACGTAAGCGAAACCAGTCATTTGCCAACAGATCTAAAACGTCTATCGTTATAAATCCGAGAGCCTGTGATAAGAAGTATCAAAGTGAAGAGAAAGAGTTAGAGAGAGCGTACAGAGCCAATCGTCGAGGTAGAAATGTTTGTCCTGAGCCCAAATGGTATAGTTGATATTAGGATTCCAGAACTTGTTATCACCCACCGTCCACTTCTTCGCCGCCACCTCCGTAGCCGCCAGAAAAGCCAGCACCGCCGCCGCAACCAAAACCGCAACTCTCGCCATCGATCAGTACTCTAGAAAAAGGATGAGTCGTCGTCTTTTTCTGACTCTTTCTCTTCCGTCTCTAGAAATAGCCGATTTTTGATGAGTAGGATTGGGTTTATCGAAGTTAAATCTGAGAGATAAATGTCTCTTTTTCCGGGAAAAAATCTCTCTAGATCCGTAATTCCTTCGACTAACCTTCGAATTTTATTATTACTTTAACTAAACCTCGAGGTTGACGAAAAGTGCAAGATAAGCGTTATGTAATTAAGGCAATTTAGTCTGTAATATTTTCTTTTTTATTTTGGTCATATTTTCTTACCTTTTTTCCGGAAATTAATTTCCTTTTTTTAGTCATCCAGTTGGTCTTAATTGCTTAATTATAAAGTCAGGATTTATTTCCTTAGAGAAAATATTGAAATACAATGAATCTTATATAAAAAGTGACAACGGTTCGTTTACTTACATTTCAATAGAAATTGTGTTTTTTTGATACATTTAAAAGTTGTAACTAAATTAGCTCTTAACTATATTGTTGTAGCCGTTGGGGAATTTCACAATTTGAATGCCACGTCACATATGACAAGTAGCTTTTCATGATCTATTATTTTCCATCATCACGCGCAAGATTGGCGCGTTGTAACCACCGCACAAAACTGGTAGAATCCACATAATTGACTTGTTAAAACAATAAAACATATTAATTTTTTTTTTTGTTGAGAAAGTTCTCTAATGTTCTACTGTTTCTTCCATTCAATTTTGCCAAAAATCTTTCTTAATTTGTTTTTTTTTTCCATATTCTTTTGACTTTTTCAAAATTGATATACACGGAGTAACATTTTATGTCCACACAATATATATGTTGTAAACTTGTAATATCCACGTAGGATGAAGTATCCGTTTAAACCCATCCACGTGTCCAAACATCAGCTTCTAATTCCATTGTACAATTAAAAAAAAAACCTTACCTGAACCAAAAAAAAACATCGAACTGAGAAGCGAAGAAGAAAATGGCGGCAGCGGCCATGGCCGTTCATCTCCCGAAACATTCTTCGTTTCTTCCGAAACCCAAACTTCCATTGGATAAAAACTCCAACTTTCTCGGTGGCTCATTGAATTTAGGTCGACCCATGTCCTTAAACCGGGAAATTAACAGTCCGGTGATGGTCTCCGCTTCTTCGACGAGCAAGACCGTCGTTACTGATGACGTAGACGGAGATCGAAGTAAACGGTTTTATATAAACTTCACTGGCTTTCCTTTTCCTCTTGGTCCTTTCCTTAACCGGCGCACCATCAGAACCGAGGTTAGCCTTTTCTCCAAATTTTTCATAAGGGTTTGTTAATTTGTCATCTCTAATTTCAGAATCACAAGTCAATTATGAAAATCCTTCTCGATTTTGAGAAAATCTTGAACCTTGTTTGTTTGCAGGCGGTTAAAGGTTGCATATGGATGTTTGAACAAGAACAAGCTTTAGGGTTTAGCAGTGTCTCCACGAATATACGAATGACTATCATCAAACTAAAATCTGGAGGTTTATGGGTCCATGCTCCTATTGCTCCCACCAAAGAGTGTATTCAGGTTCCCATTTTTTTTCCCCACCAAATTGGATTTTGTTCTTTATGATTACTATCTCCAGAGAATTGTTGAATTGAGAAAGTATCATACTTTGTTGTCATTTCTCTACTTGCATTGATATCTAACACTTGGTGTTTGATAAAGTTGTTGTATTTGATAAAGAGAGAAAGCATTTTTGGTTGAGCTTGCAGATGATTGAACTCTATTGGTGTTGTTTTGCTCTTTTTTTGTGGCAGCTTATTAAGGAGTTGGAAGCTCCAGTTGAGTACATTGTCCTTCCAACATTTGCTTATGAGCACAAGATTTTTGTCGGTCCTTTTTCTAGAAAGTTCCCTAAGGCTCAAGTATGGGTTGCACCAAGACAATGGAGCTGGCCATTGAACTTACCACTCGAGTTTTTTGGTATATTTCGTGCTAAAATCATTAAAGACGGGGACTTATCTACGCCATGGGCTGAAGAGATTGAACAGAAAGTCCTAAGCTCCCCAGAAGTTGGTATGTTCCCTTCAGTATTTCAATTTGGTTTGGTTGAAAGATTCAGAATCATATTTTCTTATGGGGTATCCAGGAATTGGACCATATGTCGAAGTAGCGTTCTACCATAAGCGGTCAAGAACCCTTTTAGTCACTGATGCTGTGATCTTCGTCCCACGGAAACCTCCCTCGAGTATCAGCAACGAATCCTTGCTGGCCTCGGCTAAGAATGGACTAGCTGTGAAGATACTTAGCAAAGGAAAAGACGTACCCAATGATCCAGTGGTTGATAATCCGAACACCCGCCAAAAAGGTCAGTAGTTCTTAAAAATCAAATTCCCCTGTTTTTTGATCAATCAGAAGAAGATCTTAGATCTCAGTGGCCTCTGTTTGTTTTAAAACTTGCAGGGTGGGAAAGAATGGTTCTACAAATCCTATTTCTTGGTCCCTCGAATCTCTTGGAACCAAACGCAAGCTTCGCACGAATGTCACAGAAGCTGATCGTTTCTCCCATTGTAAAGACTTTGGTCTTTAGCAAAGTCCCTGAGAAGGTTCCCTATCTCTGCATCATCTGTTTAAATCTTTGTTTTGGTTCCAAAAGGGTTTGTTTTGATTTGATCATCACTGATGATTCAGGTGAGGGATTGGATCGATGAGATAGCCCGGGACTGGAGATTTAAAAGGATAATCCCAGCTCATTTCGAAGCTCCAATAAACGCAGGAAGATCAGAGTTTCTAGCTGCGTTTGGGTTCCTAGAGGATCTTCTAGGGGAAAGATATGTAACTCGTCCTTCGCTCTCTCTTCTTTTCACTTCCCTAATGGGAAAAGCTGCGAGCTATTTTCCTCCAGATGATATGAGAACTCTCTCTTCTCTTGATCAGTTCTTAGTCTCTGTTGGGGCTGTGAAAAAGACAGTATCCGGTAGAAAACGAAGATGATGGCAAAACAGAAAATACAGATTCAGCCTTGTAATGAAAGATATATATAGTCAGAAACAAGTAAAAGCTTCCATGTTTTGTTTACTAAAGCTTTCTTTGGGTAAGCATTGTATACTAAGGTTTTGCAGATATTGCCTCCAACTTAACTAGAGGCGATCCATTGCATCCATGATTTAACCAAGTCTATTGCGGTGTTTGAAAACCAGGCTTACAAGACTTTACTCAAACCATGTCTAATCAAACTACAACTAACCACCATTCATTAACCGGTATATAAGAATTGAGCTGAATCACTCAACGCCAAACAAATAACGTGCAGCTGAATCCAACAATTTCTTCTTGCTCCTTAGCTCAAATCGACCTCGAATTTTCCATAACCAGCTGATAACCGGTTTAGTTATTAGTTCTTAAACCAAGTGTGGTAACCAGATAGAGGATATCAGAACCAATTTCAACAAGAGTTTTTATATTTGACGTCTTCATTTTAGATAATTACAACAACAACAAGAAAAAAAATCATCTCATCTATATAGCGCTTAGGGTTTCATTATCGAGATCGATATTTGTTTGAGCAATGGGACGGAGGAAAAAAAAAGCAAATCGTCGGAGACAAGAGGAAGAAGAAGCAAACTGGTCGGCGCTATGTCCGGACTTGCTGCGATGTGTTTTCAAACGATTGAGTTTCACAGCTCTTAATCGAGCTAAATCGGTATGTTCTACGTGGCACTCTGCTTCGAGAGGCTGCGTCCCTAACCAAAATCAGATTCCATGGCTGATTCTCTTCCCTCACGAGGAGGAATCCAACAAAAACAGTAGTAGTTGTGTGTTGTTCGTTCCGGAGGATCAAGACAAAGTTTACACAAGTAAAGATCTTGGTGTTGACTTTTCCCAGAGTCGTTGTCTGACGACTTGTGGTAGCTGGCTCTTGTTGTTGAATCGTCGTCGGGATCTCTACATTGTAAACCCTTTAACTGGCGAGAGGATTGATCTACCTGATAACCAACATTTACCAAGTGACTTAAGATACGACCGAGTTTGCTTTCGGATAGACAACAAAACCAAAGATTACCTAGTTGTAATGTTGCAGTGCTGTAGTGTGTTTACCAAGAAAGGATATAAGAAGTGGCACGACTTTCCCCACTTGGATTTTTATGGAGATTTTGCCTACAATCAAAAGGATCAAAAGCTCTACGTTCATTATCCCAATGATATTGTCGATATTTGGGATTTATCAGGAGATAATCCACACAAAGATAGGTCTCTGTCTCTTGATCCTTTTTATATCAATCATTATGATTTCCCCTCTTTTCTTAATGATAACGATGATGAACTTTACTGGGACAAGTTACGTGGCTTCGCGACACGCACTGCAGTCACAGTATCCGGACATGTTTTGATGGTGTCAAGTATAGTACAAGACTGCAAAACATGGTATTTTCGCATCTACAAGACAAACTTGTATGGCAACTGGGTGAAAGTCAAATCTTTGGGCAATGAAGCATTGATCTATGATATGGGTATCACTGTTGTCGCCAATGGCATCTCAGGGATCAAAAGGAACTCTATCTACTTCAGTGGCGTCAATCATGGCAGAGATGATCCACACCACATATTTGTCTATGATCTCACCACACAAAAGATGGAACCTTTGCCACAATGCGTCTTATCTTCCATACCATTCTCTGATGCTCGTTGGTTCTTCCCGTGCTACTAGCACGGTGCTAGTCGTGCTACCTGCGCAACTGCAGGGCACATCTCGCCTCTGTTCTTTTTAATGTTCTCGATTTGCTTTAGAGTTATTTTATTTGTTAGTTAGTTTTTTCGCTTTCAGTTCTAAATCTTGATGATACATTATCATTTCTTCCTCTGTTGTTGAGAGTTTAGCCTCACAATTCTCTGTTTACTAATTTATCTCTATCTATATGATATGGAGATATTCTAGTTTAGTCTCACAATACTAATATTCTGGAACTCTTATGTATGATAAAAAAGGGTTTCAAGTCCATTTCGACCCCAAAACAGAGGAACCTGATAAGGATTTATAAGATACAAATCAAGAAATTTCTCTCAAAATCTTGTAAAATCCTCTACATTTCACATTTAAGGATCTCTCTTG